AACGAGAACCGGGATCATATATATGTATATGTATATATATATATATATATATGTATATATATATATATACTTTCTACAGAATCCCTAAATCCTAAGCCCTTACGAGTCACCCTTAAGGCGAACCCTTAGAGGAACCGTTATAGGCGCACTTAACAGAGCCTTTGCAGTCAATCTTAGAGGGACTTCGACCTCAGCGGCCGCCATAAAAGGAATAACTGGTCCATTCTTCAAGTCGAGTTGCATTTGCTGGCTGCTCTGGGAGACCCTAAACCAAGAAAAACCTAATCCCTCAAACCCCAAACCTTAAACCCTAACCCCTAGACCCCTAGACCCAAAACCCTAAACCCCCCTAAACCCCTTACTAAAGAATAGAATGAGCAGGGGTCTCGGTGCCATGGGAACTTCAACAGTTCCATAAGGGTACGCACTACAAGAGTTCTATAAGGGTACTACAAGAATTCTATAAGGGTACTACAAGAGTTCTAGAAAGAAGGTACTGGAAGGGTTCTACAAGGGTACTACAAGGGTGCTATGAGGGGACTGTCGGTGGGGTCATGAGTATTCACGTTGCCTACTGATTTTTCAACCCTAGGCCCTAGACCCTGAACCGATCATGACCCCGCCAGAAAGCTGGTGTTTCGTGATGATTTCCGCAAGGGTCGAAGCGTCCATAGTTACCAATGCCATTGCTTACGGTTTCTTTTGATATTTACAGCTAGGTAGGCCTTTGGGACAATTGATATTTTCCCTTATTGGGCCTAAGAGGATCTTACTCACGGCTGTAACAAGCCAACCTAAATAGTCGAATATACCCCAAAACTCTAATCTATTTGTTGGAGTACGAGAGCATGCTCAGCCACTTGGTGCCTGAGGAGGGTTGGCAGAAGCTCGGCAGAGGCCCGAAGAGGACTTGTGTACTGTTGAAGGATTCCTACTTGGAGGATCATGGGACTTAGTAAGTAAGGTTACAAGTACCCTAATTGGGGTTATAATTATAGGTACCTTATTTATAACCCTAGTTGCTAAGTCCCATGATCCTCCAAGTATACGGACAGGGGGCCTTTTGTGGCTGGGAATCCCCTGCTCGCTCCAGTTTCAGCTTGCAGAGGCAGATGGGCTTCGAGAGCCCCAGCTCCATGTTGCTGGACGCGATGCAGGACCCCAGCCTTGCTACGGCACGAAAAAAAATGCGCTGGAAGACCTTGGAGGATTGAAAGAACTCAATCCTTGCCGCTCAGGCTTCTGGCAAAGAAAGCCTCGGATCCGTGAAGTCCGCCCTGCCCCCCCCCCCCCGAACGGCTGAGCCCAGCTGCTACACCCTAAACCGTGAACCCACACTCTCATACCCAAGAGCCTAATAGCCCTGCTGTTGTGTAGCAACGCCTCAATCCTGCGGCGCTAAGCCTTGCACCATAAAGAGTCCACTACCGCTGCCGTGGTTCAAAAACCTAAACCATAGATCCTAGACCCAAAACCTGGTCCTGTGGGTGGGCCACCGAAAATAGTACGGCACCCTTCTAAAACGGACCCTAAAAGGCTAAAAGGGATCCTAATTCAGAGAACTGCTTGTGCGGCTGAGGCCAAAGCAGAGCTGGCGTTGAACCAGGCCGGTCCTTCAGACCTGTCGGCTTCAGACCTTGGGCCCTAGTCCCAAAAGGGCCCTAAAGGCCCCAAGCTCTAAACCCTAAAGGCCATAAGCTGAAAAACCTGAAGTCCCCAAGCTCTAAACCCGAAAGGCCCTAAGCTCCAAACCTTCAAACCCCAAAAACCCTGAGGCCTAAAGCCTGAAGCCAAAACCCGAGTACCCGAGTCTAAGACTCTGGGACACCCAGGATTCCAACTCTCATCCTTAAGTCACTTCGCGCTGAATCCCATATCCTGGATCCCTCCAGCCCTCCCTGAGCTCCGAAAGCTTGAAGCCAGCAAGCCCTGGGAGCGAAGTCTTGATAGAGGTTTGTTGGCTAAGGGTTCAGGGTTTAGGGTTTAGGGTTTAGGGTTCAGGGTTTAGGGTTTCGGGGTTTGTTGGCTGAGGTTGGGTTGTTTGGGTGCTTAAGGACAGGGTCCTACGGCGGTACCTTACAACAAGCCTCAGACCCTACATCTACACTTCGTGTCTCCGTTGAGCTTCTACATACAGTGCACTCTACAGGTTTAAACCTCAAAGTTTGTATAGCCCTCGGGCTCATATTCAGGTTCCTTAACCTCAAACCCTTTTCGGTTTTGCTTCGGTACTATCGGTACCCAGTTGTGGATGCAGAGACCTTTGTTGAGAAGCCAGCCCTATAGGAGCCAGAAGATGGCAAGCAGCAACGTTGCCCCAGCGGCTGGCAGGACTCACGCCGCCATGCTGGACACCGCAATGCAGGAGGCGGGCGCTGCCGCCCGCGACTCTGCGCCCGCATGGGTACGGGGCGTGGTCTCGGCCGATGCCCTGCGGGAGCTCGAAGCGGAGGTCGATGCCTGGACCAAAAGCGTCTCTGCGGTGCAGGGAGCGATTTCAACTGGTGCTCAAGGCACACGTGGCCGCCGTAACGGGCAGCGCCAGGGCCAGGGCGGTGCCCGTGTGGCTGAACCCCAAAAACAGCTTCACCGCGGTCGAAGGCGCTCTGCTGGCTGCCCTGGAATCCGGGACGGCCTCCATGTAGTTTAGGCTTCAAGGTTTAAAGTTTTAGTTAGGGCCTCAACGAACTCTTGGAGGATCAGGAGACTTAGCAAGTAGGGTGTCGTAAGGAGGGTAAGTGTGTAACCCCAGGTGAGGTACTTATGGCCCTACTTTGAGATAGAAATCCCCAACCCCTAGCCCGAAATCCTACATAACCCCGACTCTGACTCTATAATCGCCTTGGCTCCTTAAGCCTAAGCCATATTCCTTGAAGTATAAACGGACCCTTCAGCGGATTCACAGTATATGGGCCATAAGGCCATAAGGCCAAAACCGAAGCTTTGAGCAAACACACCTGGCAGGCACGCAGCCTCATCCGCCAGAAGCAGACTGACGCCAAGAAGTTCCCGAAGGACTTTGTTTAAAGGGGTCCCTCTGTAGGTCCCCAAGTACGGCACCCTTACAACAAAGGGCACAAAAACGGCTCCTGGTTTAGAGAACTACCCATTTGCTTTAAAAAACCTAACCCTTCATCGAAGGGTCCAAGCACCTATTCAGGAATCTATGGCTGAGGGTTTTAGGGTAAATAGTTCAAGGACCTAATGGTCATCTACTCTCCTAAAATACCAACCTACATTACCAGCACTAGTGTCCTCAACCCAGATACCAAAATATTGAGTCCTTTGGATCCTTAGGGTACACCCTGGACCATCGGTTGAGGTTAACTGGCAAGGTCAAGAAAACAAACACCTAGCATCACCTCTGAGAACTGCAACACCGGCATAATCCAGCCTGCAAACTCCGAAAAGCCCTTCAGATTCCCCAGGATGTTAATCGATTCGGCGTTTCAGGTTTGGGTTATCCACAAAGCCGAGAAGACCCCACGCCTTGCGCCGATGCTCAGTCCTTGAACCCCAGTCAGACTCAAACCAGGCCTGTTGAGCTTGGGTTTAAAGGGTCTGGGGATTTCCCATGCAGCGTTTTTTGGTTGAGGGTTTAGACTGTTTTTGCTGTTGAATTGGAAGCTACGGTTTATACGGTACAGGGCCCAACCACCCCGCTACACAGGATCCTTTTTTGTGATTTTTGGGGGGGTGCGTGTGCCGGTGAGGAGCTGCAAGAGAAAGCCATGGCAGAGCTGACCCAGCTGAGCCAGCGTGCTGAGGCCAGCCCCCCTCTCAAGGTCTCACGAGCACCCGTATCAGAATGCTAAAAGAAGGTCACACGCACTTATTTAACCACTGTGTTTCGCTCACTTTTCAGCAAATCTTCCCCAACTCCGGAGTCTTGCAATCAGGACAAACATCGGGGACATGAATAAAGCCAAAGTCCACCAGCTCCTTGTAGGCCTTACCACTATCAGTATCCAAGTTGTCGACGACAGAGTCTGACATATGCTTATGGGCAAACTGGCGGGTACCGGCTTTCTGGTTCTTGTGCGTCCCATACTCCTTGGATGCCTGATGCTTGCCCTTTCCGGACTTGTTGTTCACAACTTTGACAGGCACTCGATTCTTGAATCTCTTCATAGGCTGTTGCTTCATAAGACTCCGCATGGATGCACGAAGATGGATGAGTTCCTGAGCTCCAGGGGCCTTGCATTGCCGGATGTTATGACCGACCTTTCCACAGCATGAACATTTGTGAGGCGGTTGCGATCGAAGCCTCACGACTCCCTTTCCCATGCTTGTACATATATATATATATACAATATATAGGTAGGTGTGTGTATATATATATATAGGTAGGTGTATATATATATATATGCACATTATATATATATATATATATAGGTAGGTAGGTGTATATATATATATGTATGTACGTATGTATGTATGTATGTATGTATGTATGTATGTATGTATGTAGGTATGTATGTATGTAGGTATGTAGGTATGTATATTTATATGTATGTATGTATGTATGTATGTATGTATGTATGTATGTATGTATGTATGTATGTATGTATGTAGGTGTGTGTGTGTATATATATATATATATATATATATGGTCGGTCTGAGCCATGCGCATGCCTCGGGTCATGAATGTAAGGAAAGTAGGTGGTTAAATAGGGGCGTGTCTCCTAAAAGAAGCCCTGCAGTGGACCTCATATAAAATCCTTACAATCCTTATAAGCGCCATAATACAAGGGTCACAGTCGGATCCATTTGCCGAAGTTCTGTCGCCGCAGATAGACTTTAACCCACATGCAAGACCTTGCAGAGGATCTTCAAGAGACGGTGTAGAGTGGCTGGCCGCGATGTCGGCGGCTCTATCTATCTGTCTATCCATCTATGTTCCATCCATCCATCCATCCATTCAGCCGGATAGATATGTAGAAGGACAAACAGACAGACAGACAGACAGACAGACAGACAGACACAGACAGACAGACAGACTGACTGACTGACTGACTGACTGACTGACTGACTGACTGATCGACACATAGATAGACAGACCGGCAGAAAGATAGATCGAGAGATGTAGAGAGATAGTAAGATCGAGAGATAGTGAGGCAGTGAGATAGAGAGATAAGAAGATAGATAGATAGAGATGGAGACATGGCGACATGGATAAGTTAACAGTTAGATCGCAAGAAAGACAGAAAGATGGAAAGACAGATGCATAGATGGCATAGATGGCTAATCAAATGGCTGGATGGATGACTGGCTGGCTATCTGCCGACATATCTATCTCTCCTTTTCTCGTACCATCCTTGTATACGTCCGTTTTTTGCGCAAGCACGTGCACGATGTTGTATGTTTTGTTCATGGCTGATGTTTATCTTGGTAACTCCGCTGCATATTCCCTTCGTAACCTCCCTTTCGCAAACACGAACACCACAACACAGCCACCCTGCCGAGGCGTGCGGCAAGAAGATCACGGACTTCAAGAAGGACGCAGACTTCACGATCCAAAAGAATTAGAGTGCCCAGCACGGCCTGACATCCCTTGACTTGAACAATATTGAAAACAATTCTGGTAATCTGAACACGGTTTGTAATTTTTTCGAGAATCCATTGGTTTATGTTGTAGCAAAAAAGTGTTTGCCGAAGACACTGACATCTTCTCCATTCTCCAAGGAGACCGCGGAGAGGAAGCTTAACGCACTCATGGCCGAGGCGGGTTTTAACAAACAAGTTGCTACAAGAGTTCGTAAACGGTTTTCATCCGGGGCTGATAAGGGCTTTGATATAGAAGCCTAAATAATTAACAATATTGTTCTTAGGGTTCCTTATTGTAACTAAACTATACAAGAGCCCAAAACTCTATTCTAATTATTAAGGCCCCTACAATAGCGGCTTTAATTCGCATTTCATACTACGGGTTTGGAGATGTCAGGGTTTGATAAGGGTGTTACCGCAGGGTTTCAGGTGTTGTATAATTAAACGGTATACATAGTAGGGTGTTATAAAGTTTAGAACAGGGCTTGGGGAATAGTATTTCTGATATCTCGTTATAGACCCTGTAAGAAATTTCATAACTAGTCCAATCATTCAGGCGCCGGATTGGGTGTAAGGTGTGCACGGGGTCGCAGAGTTGTATCACTGAGAGAAAAGATGAAAGGCTTTGGAGAGTAGGGTTACACTGGTCCGAGGTGTGGCTTTCAGGGTCTGTTCGGGGTTCAATTCCTTCAAAACTACAAATGCCAAAACTTGCGCATACCGTACAGAGCCTACTGAACTTTGTAGATGCAATATAGAGCCCAGACAAGACGCATTTAAACTTCCTCAAGACTCTTTGCAGCGTACGTTCAAGACCCTAGTGACACTCAACGTCTCTACTCGACTAAACCCAGAGGCCCTGAAAGACAATCATCCCCAAACCCTAAACCCGAAACCCTAGACCCTAAACCCTAAACCCGAAACCCAAAACCCCCTAAACCCCAATAAGCCCTGAACCGCAAAGCTTCAGAGTAGCCCTTACAGTAACTGTATAGCACCCTTACAGGAAGCAACTCCTAGAGTCCCTAGAAACCATAAACCCTATATCCCTAAACCCTGACAGAACCCTCTAGAGACCCTATCAACCCTTTCGAAACCCTTGCCTAAAGCCCAAGGCTCCCCTAAAACCCCGAAGCCCTAAAATCCTAAGCCCTAAACCCCGAATCCAAATCCTGAAAACTAAACCCTTCTCCCTCAACCCTGAACTCCAAACTCCAAGCCCTTACCTCGGAGGTGATGGAGGCCTTGAAGACCGCTGAGGCCAAAGTCGAGGCCCACGGCGAGGCATCGACGACGGGCCGGTTTTGACTTTGGTTTGTTATGTTTTGGTTTTAAGGTTTCTTTCAGGGTTTTGTAAGGACTCAGCGTTTCGGCGTTTTATTTTGAGCGTTTTTTATCGATTTGGTTTGGTTCTGCGGAGGATTTGATTTTTGTGTGTGGGGATTCGGGGATTGGATTGAGGGTTCCTGGCTTTTAGGTTCTACGGAGCAAAAGGTTGACTAGGCCTTTAGGAGTTACGGCCTTGGGGCTCAGGAAGTAAAGTACGATTTTGCAGTGGGTACAGGCTTGTTGTGACATCGCGACCCTCGCCACATTGGGTCGGTAGAACAGGTTTGAGTTTAGGGCTGCAGTTCTGGAGGTCGTGGTGGGCATGGCGTGCGCATGGGAAAGCACTCAGTGCTTGCAGACTTTAATTAAAGTTTCAGCGGACTTCGCAAGTAAGGTTCTGAAAGTAAGTACCCTACTCGGGATTACAAATAACTACTGTAGTTTAAACTGTAATTACTCCCTACTTTTTCTGTCCACTGACCATCCACGTGCAGCCCAAAACCGCCCAATACTTATTCCACGATAAGAAGGCGGCCTGCTTCTCGGACATGCTTGCAAACCCTTTGCCCAAGATCCCAGCTACAAGCCCGAGCCCTTGAACCCATGGCCACTAAACCCTCAACTCTAAACCCCGAACCCTACAGCGCTGGACCCTAAACTCCAAGCCCATAAGCCCGAAATATCGCGGTGCAGTCGCAAAGATTAGGGTTGTAGGGCTTCAGGGTTTTGGGATTTACTTAGAGCGTTAAGGGTTTATTGTTTAGTTTTTGTTAAGGCCCACGGCCTCACAAACCTCAGCCCTCAGCCCTATACGGCAAATCCGAAGCCGTAAACCCTGGGCCATAATCGCAACATCGGAGCCTGAAGCTAAAGCCAGAATGATACGGGAGTGTCACAAGTAAGGGGCCCGAACATGAACATGACCCTAAATAGTACGACACTTAGTGAGGGAATCTTTGGGGACACCCTAGACCTTGCAGTGAATCTTGCTGGAGGTGGCCAAAGTCTTCTCCGACGAACTCAACCACGTCACGGCCTCAGGGTTCCATAGGGTTTTTCATGGCTCAGAGTGGTTTAAGGTCTTTTGAATTGGTCTTTTATGGCTGTATTGTAGGAGCTTTCCCGCTATAAACGCCCAAGTCACATCCGCAAATACAGAAAAGACTAGAAGGCATCTGCTAACATAGTCTTGAGCAGCAAAGTCACGGGGCTTTGACTGATGTGACTTGACATGATGTTTATACAGACCACTTCGAACATGTCGCGGTGGTCGATGATGGGCACCACAAGCTGATCATGGTTCGCTGTTGGAGGTTTCGCCATGGCACGGGCCAATGCAGTCGCGGCTGTTGATCATCAGCTTGAGGAGGACACGAGCCAGAATGCTCTTTCCGTCATGACTATCTATCTGTACCACCAGCATGAGCACCATGAGTCTCACCATCATGATCAAGATATTTCGCTTGATCACCTGCATCAGCAATGAAGTAGAAGTCACCAGCGCCACCAACACCACCATGAACATCACGGGCCCTCAACTCCTGACTCGAAGCCCTCAACCCTGAACCAAAACCCGAAGCCCAAAAGCCGAAAAACTAAAACCCATAGAACCTATAGATCCCAACACCCTAAAGCCTCCAACACCCCAAGATCCAAGAAACATCGGAAGACCCAGAGAGCCTCGGAAACCTAACGCCCTGAAGCCCTGAACTCTGAACCCCAGGCCCGAGCCATCCCGAGATCTCATACCCTAAACCCTAAACCGCAGATCGCTTCAGGTCACAGAAGAGGCCATCAAAGAGGCCATGGAGAAGGCTGCGGGTTCAGCGGTTTGGGGTTCAGGGTTTAAGGGTTTTAGGGTTTAGGGTTTTAGGGGTTTGTGTTTAGGACTTGAGGGTTTTAGGGTTTCGGGTTTTGGGGGGTTTGTGGTTTAGGGTTTCAGGGTTTTGGGGTTTAAGGTTTAGGGGTTTAGCTCGTGGGCTACTACAGGGGTCGGAACTACTCGTTGGGTAATGGCAGCAGCTGCAGGAGGAGAAGCTGTAGTCGTAGTCGTGCTAGTAGATCCTCGTGGTACTAGTCGTTCTAAGCCTCAACCGTAAGCCCCAACCCTACACCCCAAACCCCAAACCATGATGGTAGTCCTCATAGAATCTTTGTACCCTGTAAACACATAAGCCCCGAACGAATATCATAAAACACGTACTGTAATGAACTCGACAACATTCTCACATGCTACAACACGCCCAAACAACCCAAGAGACGGGCCAGGTTGGTGCCGTGGAGAAGGAGGCCATGGAAGCGGTAGCAGAGGCCTCTCCGACTCGCAAGCTGTCTCAGGGTGGGGCTTCGGTGGGATTTTACCGACGCAAAGTTTCTATGCAGGTGTTTTTGTGTGGTTTTTGAGGGTTTCCAGCAAGGGTTTCGAATTGAATGCAGCAGCCTTGTTAAGAAATCCTTGCTTCCTGCTTGGACCCGGAATATCGGAATGTGGATTCTGTCATTTTGGGTTCAGGGTTTCGGATTTGGAGTGTAGGGTGTAGGCTTGGAGTTTAGGGTTCCGGTTTAGGGGTTTTTAGGGTTTCAGTTTCAGGGTTCATGGCTTTGCACCTGGGCTGATTTCAGACATTGCTTGCAATCTGCTTTTGTCGCGGGCCTGTGAGCAATCTCGGGCTCATTCGACAAAACAGGTATTCAATCACACATACAATATACAAGTGAATCAACGATTTGGTCTGGCCATATAGCCTGTCAGCTGAGTAGCCTATCAGGTAGTTCCATCCGACATAGAACAAAGACCGCTAGCCACGATCCCCAAATCGGAACCTGAAACTCTGGACCGGTTGCCGCAGAAGTCGAGTTCTATGCCCTCTGGATGCAGGGTTTACTGTTTCCTGCGTAGGGCTGCCAGGCGCGGAAGCAGCTTGCAGGCAAGCAGCGTGACGTCAAGGCTTGTCCATGTGCATCTGTTGCAGGTCATCCTGGCTGTTCTTCTTCCTTAAACAAACCCAAACTTCCTGATTTCCGTAGCACTCCTGAGCCCGTCAAACTCCACCAGTTAGTTTCAAAAGTCGGGCTACAGTCTCAAGGTTGTGCATGCAAGGTTTGGCCAGGGACGGATGTCATGATGGTGTCAAGCTAGGAAGCCGATCTGCTTCACAAGGGGCTCTAAGTTGAGGGTTACCCCCAAAGTTGGGGAGCCTGCAGTAGATGGTCGATTGCAAGAGGTGCCTGCTCGTTCGCCTTCAACCAACCCTCAACTTCTACACCCAAACTGTTTTCTGACAAACACCTAAAGGGGTGGGGGTCCTGCAGTCTTAGATGGCGAGATGAGTAAGCATGCTGCAGGGTCGATTGAATTCCGTTGCTACGTACTCACATTGCACAACGATGCATCCACCGTTGGAGAGGACAAGAAGCATTCAGTCTAGAGCGCTGCCAGAAAGATTTGAGCCCATGATCTTGGCACGCAGCAGCGCGCTTCGGCTGGTGTCACGAGCGAAGTTCCAGCACAACCTGTACCATCCGGTCGCAGCTTCGCTTAGCAGCAGGCTTGCCAGCTCCGCATTCCTGAACAAGACCGCCGGGCAGAGACGTGCGACAAGTGCGGTCGAGGAGTCCATCGCGCAGCCAGCCGGGACAAAATCGGACGTGCCGATTGACTTGCTGCGCCAGGAAAACAAGCTTCTCCGGTCAGAGCTCGCCGGGCTTCGCTGGCCCCAACTTTGTTCGTTTCTGGCTGGTGGCCGGCACTACCCGTTGCCCTGGCATCCGCCTGCGGAGAACTCGGTGACGTTGCGCAAAGCTGATTTGCAGTACTTGGCTGGGGTGTTTGATGGTGACGGATGTGCTTTCAGTCGTGCCTCTACGTGCGCGCTTCGCATGACTCAGACCTACGACCATCCAGAAGTTCTGCTCCTTTTCCAAGATGCTTTCGGTGGTGGTATCTATAGCCAGCACAATGGTGTGGGATTGACCAAGCCGAGTCTGCAGTGGCACGTAGGCAGTGCAAAGGCCAGACTGGCTGCTCAAGCGCTTTCCGTGCACAGCAGCACTAAGCGAAGGCAGCTTGAACTGATAGCAGACTGGCCCGATGATCCGTTGAAGCGGATAGACTCTGGCCGCAAACTTCGCCTCTTAAAAACCACTGATTCGGCTGTGGAGTTCAACTGCAGTTGGGGTTACTGTGCTGGGTTTTTGGATGCAGATGGCTGCATTGCGCTGTCTCGCCATGGACTAGCCCTTGTGAAATTTTCTCAGAAGTTTCCGGCTGTTCTCCAACACATCCGAAACTTCATGTATGAACAGGCTGGGGTTACTGCAAAGATGTACGAAGGCCCAGTGCGCTTTGAATTGCGTATCGGCAGACACTTTGAGTCTAAGCTAGTGCTGAAAAACATGCTGGATGCAGGTCTCCGTCGGAAGGCCGTGCAGGCCTCTCTTGTCCTCAATTCTACTCGGGAATCTGTTGGCCATGTCCGTCAGGTCTTTGCCCAATCTGTGGGAAACCAGCAGTTTGGCAAGAGATTAGACGAAGATGGCACTGCCAGGGCTGTGAGAATCAACAACTTGCAGACGCGATGTCGCAACTGGAAGAAGAAGGGAGATACTGAGAAGGCTGCTGCTGCCTCACAGGAATTACGAGCATTACAGAGCAATCATGAATTGATCAAGGCTCAGTTGGAGAATCGCCAACTGCGCCAATACCGTCGGATGCTGCGAAGCTTGCAAATGAATGGCTGGTAGATGCTTGGGCGACGAGACAACCCCGGCAACGAGTGAGTGGGTGTTACAAAGTTGAAAGCCCGGAGCACTAGACTTGAACAAAGGATTGTGGGACAGTGGACTAGCAGGTCTGCGCAGACTTTAGGGATTCGCGCCTGAGGCTGTCAGAAGGACGCCTTCCGCGCAGGTTGCTGGTTTCAATAACATGGAGTTTTGCAGCTTGTTTGAAAGCCACTCTTGATGTTATACGATAACATAGAAGCCTGACAGTCAAATTGTTAACACTGCTTTTACGGGTTCCTTTGACGATCATAGTACAACATAGCAACCCATCGAAGCTGCTGGGGTGTTATGGCTTTGGTTAATCCTATAGCCCTAATGTTGATTTGGGTTCCGGTTTTACAAGGGCTTAGGTTTGGGGCTTGCAAGCACATGTGCTGCAGGAACACCTACAAAACCCTTGAAACAAACTCATCTCAACCCTCCCTGATCCCCCTCAGCCCTAAACCCTCAACCTTCTAAACACGGTGTACCCCTTTCGAATCCGTCAACACCCTTGGACACCCTTTAAAACCCTCCCTTTCTGAGAGAAAACCAGTCTGTGGAGTGCCAGGGGCCAGCGGCCGCCGGCGCCATGAGCAAACTCCAGGGCCCGAGCCTCCACCGTGTGCTTTCCGTTTTGGAAGAGTCATGGGGTGTAAGGAAGAGGGCTGCGGGCACAAAGTTGGAGTTTAGAGTATATAGGCATCTAGGGCTTGGGTTGTAGGGTCTAGTGTCTAGGGTGTAGGGCTTTGGGCTTGGGGTTTAGAGTTCAGGGATATCTAGGGTATGGGGCGTAGGGCTTGGGCGTAAAGTTTAGGGTTTAGACTCACCTTGCATTGATGAAATCCATCGTGCACGTGAGACCACCATCGTGCATTGCCGGGGAGACAAATGGCTCATATGTATCACCTAAACAAGGGCCCACCCACTGCAGATACTCATCCATCACTTGACGCAGGCAGGTAGCAGCAGATACTTCAGCTTTGTGACGAGCAAGCAGATCTCTAAGAGCATCGATAAGGGGAGAAGGCAGAACTTTCTCAAAGGCCTTGGCAGCCGCATCAGCTTTCTGACTATGAAGGATACACCACAGATCTGATCATGGATTCCAGTTGCTCATTGAAGTCTGTGTGGAACTTCACACACAACACCTTAATGGAGTCGGCAGTCCTGTTTTGCAGAAGTCTTTTCGCTGTGTTGAGGGGGGCCCTACCCGGGTGCTGCACCAGGATTGAGTCCGGTGATGATCTGTTGAACCCGACGAACAGCATCATAATAAATGGTAGCGGAATAGCGCATGAGAATGGCGGTATTGATCGTTTAAGGTTTAGGGTTTGGGGGGAGAAGGCAGATGGGCTTTTAAGGCTTTCACGGATACTTTACGAAGGTTTTGTTGTTTTTTCTACCTTTGATTCGTGTTGAGAGACTTGTTTCCAGTTGCCAAAAACGTAATTTGAATCGGCGCGTTCAACGATGATGGTAGCTTGAATGAACTCCGAAAAATCCTTACAGTTCGTTTGGGGCTCAAGAGGTCTAGGGAAGAAGGGTTTCAGGATTAGGATTCAGGACCCCCTATCAGTCCCGGCTTTGAAGGGCACCTCATTTCGGTCTTCCCTCCATAAGTTGCACAAACCCTGGATGGTATACCTGAGTTTCGGTCTCCATGCCTTACTCCGTGGGTTTCGAGTTTCATGGCGCATGGGGTTCGGATTTTGGCGACAGGGTTTAGGGCTTCGTGTTCAGAGCTTGCAATCTGGGGTTAAGGGGTTCAGGGGCTTGCTGTGTTCTTACAAACGTGTTCGTTTGTGTGCTGCACAAGTGCTTTTTTGGCGGACATGTGCCGATCAATCCTCCGGGGCTTCGTCCGGTTGGTCGTTTGCTCGGGCAGGTGGAACCCGGTTTATGACCCCACACTTTGAGCCCTAAGGCAGCTTGTAAGTTCTATACCGCGAAGTACATTTGGAAACCTAAAGCCCCAAACCCTAAACTCCCAAAACGCCCTAAACCCAAACCCCTACACCTTAAAATTTAAAGCCTAAGCCAAAAGCCTACACCCCAAAGCATCCCAGTGGCCTGAAGCACCTTGAGCCTCAAAGTCTTCCAAGGTCGACTAAAGGCCGCGGCTGATGATCTTGCAAAGAACAAGAAGGCCTTGCCTTGGGGATCCGGGGATCTACTTGGAGGACCATGGGACTTAGTAAGTAAGGTTATAAGCACCCCGATTGGGGTTATTATAGTTACCTTATTTATAACCCTAGTTACTAAGTCCCATGATCCTCCAAGTAGTAGGTTCGGGGCTGAGGCATTAGGGTTTGGGCGGTTTGGAACAGTTCTTAAACCTTCAATCCAACCCTAGCTTTAAACTAACAGCCCGAAGCCCAAACCTCAAGCCCCGAATGCCAGCAGACTCGGCTTGGAATATTTTAACGTCGGCACTTTAGGGTCTGAAACGACTTCGATGAGCATCTATGATAGAACAGCACGCGGGAAGGTAACGTTGGTATCCGAACCCAGTATCTCCAGCCCTGAATACGAAGGCCCTGCTCTGTAATAAAGCACTCTTATACAAGCCCCATAGCCATCCCAAGCCATAGCAAAGCCTGATATCTTATACGAATAACTGTCAAACACATTAGAAGCCCTTACAGGAGCATTCATTACAGGCACCCCTACAGGAGCCCTCATAGTAACCCCCATCCCTAAACCCTAGCAGGAATCTAAAGCGGCTGATACAGGCCTCGACCTTCGGCGACAAGCTGCTGAAGGGCAAGGAGGCCCCTCTGATGCTGCAGAGAAGCTGCATAGCCCCCAGGGTTCAGGGTCCAGCATTCGGGCTCAGGCTTTGGGTGCGGTGTTTGGGTTCAGGCTTTGGGTCCGGCGTTTGGGCTTTAGGGCTCAGGGTTGAGAGGCTTCGGGTTTGGGTGTTTGGGGTTGAGGGTTCCGGATGAGGGGCTGGGTGTGTGGGATTCACAGTGAAGTTCAGGGTCTGTTGCTTAGAAATGTCTGGTTTAAGGTTCAGAGCTGTGGGTCTAGTGTTTAATGTAGGGGTCTAAATAATTACCTATACTACTGTTGGGGGTTCCTTATTATAATTACAGTATAATGGACTCTAAGACCCTATTCTATAATTATTAATTATTAAGGCCCCTAGAGTACTTCAGGCCGATCTGTCATATGTACCGGAAACCCTGAACCTGAATCCATGTTAAATCACGGCACCTTGGAGCTTGCAAGCCTCAACACTGCAAAACCCACGAAAACATTCGCAGAACTCCGGCAAGCTCCATAAGATCCTGACGGGACCCATGACATCGATGCCTGTAATATAGGACTTATGCCCTTACAGTCCGCAAAGTGAGCGTAGTATATTACCCGCAAAGGGCCCTATGAAGACAAAGCAAACCCTACTCCAATCATTGTTTCTTATTAAGGCCCCTAGACTAAACCTTTCAAGAGTCATTAAGGCCTCTTTACTATATACACCTTCTTCCGATACCGTTCCAATTATTTAGGCCCTGCCCGAGGCCCTTTTTTGAAAAAGCAGAAGTTACAGCGAAACTTGACAGACCCCCTCAGCAAATCCCCGGAACCGCCCAAGATCTTCAGGCCCTGGCGGAAGAGATGGGAAACGTCGACAAGGCGGAGGCCGAGGTGCGGACCCGGGCTCTTCTCCCTGCGATGACACGTTAAGTTTTGGGGTTCAGGGGTTCGAGGGCTTTAGGTTGCTACGGTTTTAGGTTTTTAGGGCTTGGGTTAGAGTTCTTTGTTTGGCATTAGGGTGAAGTCTTAGGAATCATCTTACCTACAGTGTTAAGAAAGGGAAAGAACACACGGGTTAGTAAGACAATTTGTTTTTTGTGTTTCAGGCCAGTGTGGATCATAGTCCACTTCGGATGAATCCTTGGGTTTAGAGTGTTTAGGGCCTATTTAAAGCTTGGGTTAGGGTTCTGGCGTTGAAGGTACAAGTTACTTGGGTATCAATTAATGTATACAAGCGGTAGTGGGTATTGGGATACTAGGGTCTGGGTTATTACGGTAGTCGGCTATTAAGGTATTAGGATAGGGGTTTAGGGTTTTGGATTTATTTACAAGGGTTCGGGGGTTATGTTTGGGGGTCAAGGGTGTTGCAGTCCAGTTGTTTAGAACATGTCTGGAAGCCTTTGCGCGGCTTGCTGCTGGTAGGGATTGAGGTTCAGGGTGCAATGGGCCTCGGCCATGTGGCACAGTGCTTTCAGCTTTAAGGCCTCACGGTCTCCAGAGTTTAGGGTGTAGTGGTTATCAGGTCTTCGCGGGCTACGGGCCTGAGGCTCCGGCATTTAGCAGTTTGCCGCCGGATTTGGAGTGTACCAGGACAAGTAGGTTTGGTTTGCTTCCTTACCCGTTTGGCCATTTGTTGATTGGTTCCAATGGTATTCATGTGATCGATCAGACCCTGGCAGGTTTTTACCCTAAACCCTTTTGCCTGGATTTCTTGTATATGGGATCCTTGACTTGTTCGAGGGTGAGCTGTGGGTTAACGCTCGCATGTTTTTGTTCGGCGTCGGGTTGTGGTTGAAGGGCTTTGGCTTTAGCGGCAGGGTCTCAGGTTTAGGTGTTGGGTCTGGTGTTTGGTTACGTCATGGTTAGACAACTTGCGAGGTAACCTCCAGCCTCTTTCAAAACCTCTAACACCCTGTTAGAAAATATGAGACCGCTGATGTCGCAAAGCAGGAGTTCTGACATGTGTACGACCCCCGCAACCCGAAACCCTGCTGCCGAAACCGCGAAGCCTTATGGCCCTAAAGCCGTAGGCCCTAGTTCCCCAAATCCCTCAAACCTGAACCCTAAACCCAAAAACCCCTAAATCTCAAAACCCATGAAACTCTGAGCCTTCGCAGCCCTTAGCGCTAAAACTCTTCAATAAAACCTTAAAGCCACTGAAACACTAGGCAAAAGCACAGCTCTTCAGGTCGCCAAAGCCGAGAAGCTCGCCGAGCCGGTGGAGGCCGTGGAGAAGCCCACGGACGAGGATACCGTCGGGGAAGTTGGAGTTTCGGTTTGAAGGTTCGAGGGTTCGAAGTGTAGGGTTTCGGGATCTTGGGTGTAGGGCTTTGGGTTTTTGTTTGAGCGTTTCTTTCTTGAGGGGTTAGAACCGTGAATAAGGGTCGTGTCTGTCAAACGCCAGTTGGTGCTGATTTTGGCCTTGTCCCTGCTTCCGAACCTTTCATCCGAACGCGTTCCCTAAAAACCTACGCGAACCCTAGTGCACGCAGAAGCCCTACAAACCCAGGCACCAAGCCCAGGCCCTAAGAACCCACAAGCGGAGGAGTGCGCCGAGCTGGGCGATGCCATCGTCTTGGCACAAAACACCATCAAAGCCACGACAGGGTGCGGGGCAGCTGCAGAATTGGTCGGGGAGATGCGGTGTCGCAGAGTTGAGACTCTTGAGTTGCAGGGTTTGGGGCTTCAAGGTTTCGAGGCTTCAGGCTTCCCTGGGGTGGTTTTAGTTCGACCCACTTCAACCCCGAAACCTCGTCGTGGGAGAGCTGCTGCTTCACCGCCCGATTGCATTTGCATAGCATCTGCAATCCCCGGATTGCGTCCGCCATGGATGCTTGTCAAGCCAAGCTACTTCAACACTGTAGACCGTAAGGTAAAGGGACCGCAAACGAAGCCTCAAAATCTCACGCTCAGTAAATGAGTCTTGCAAGCCATAAGAAGCTCTGGAAGACAAACACTTCTCCATCCGGGTACACCAGCTCTGCGGGCAGGTCCATCCAAGGGAACATGTCCACGCCGGTGCCATCCATCAAGGCCTGCACCCGACAGGGTTTCATCAATCAATCATCATTATCATCATCATCATCATCATCATCAGCGTTGTCCTGCTGCTCCCTGCTTGTCTTCGGCCAGGATCTCGTATAATGATGAGAGCAAGTGAATAGAACTTACTTAAACGATGAAAATGGTGATGATGAGGTGCACGTCGGTTATCCTATCTACTGTACTAATTACACATTCCGATGTTTGCGCAGCTCTTCTGTCATTGGGCACCGAGGGGGCCATGGCTAGAGAAACAGGCCCACGTCAACAAGGATCCATGCAGAGCTTGGACCTTCTACCAAAGTAGTAGAGTAGGCAACCGTAGCCTTATGGGGGTACTATACTGGGTACTATAATCCGTTTACAATCCCAGTGGTTTACCTTTAGTTCCCGTAGGATGCTGGACAGGTAAGTCTAGCACAACCAGGCTCGAGCTCGAAAGGTTTTAGCAGATCTTGGCTGCCACTGTCTTTCATCCTGGATTCTTGATAAGAAATTTAGTTTTAGCTACCATAGTGGGATCTATAGTCTATAGTAAGTTGTTCGGTAACAAGAGCCCAGCGTGAACCAAGTATCACCCGCCTGGCAATCCAGGAAGGAAGGCCTTGTGAACAACGCGATACCCCAAACTATGGCATCCCCAAAGTTCCAAATGATTCCCAACAGCAGACATACCCAGAGAGCCCAATACCCCTTAATTAAGGAATATACCTTAAACCATATTAGGGATCCTACTATAATTTAAGGTATACTCCTTAATTAAGGGATATTGGACTGGGCACAGCTCTTTCCTGCAGGCCGCCTTCTCCAAGGTTGCAGAGAGGAGCAAGAAGGTCCAGGAGAGGCTGGACAAAGTTCTCGTCCGGGGCTAAGATCGAGAGCTTAGGGGTTAGGTTTAGGGTTTAGGGCTCTTTCTTTTTGTTGTTGCCTCAGTTGCATGACGTGCATAAGAGAGAGACTGCTGAATCCCCATGACCCCTGAAAGCCAAAGCATCGTAAGTTAAGTTGTCGCAAGCTCATAGCTAGAGCTCCTGTAGCCATGTAAAGACTCACGCAAGCCCTTTGGACTTGCATACCTTAGAACCCTATCTAGAACCCTGCCTCGCAAACCCTAAAGCCCTGAAGCCCTAAATCTTACGACCTAAACCCCAAACCCTAAAACTTTAAACCCTAAAGCCGAAAAAGCCCTGAAACCGAAAGCCAAGAGAGAAACTCCCTTCCCAGGCCGGTAAGAAGGGACTCCGCGAGCGCTCCCTGGGCGAGGCCCGATGTTTTTCTTCAGTTCAGGGCCGTTTGTAAAGTCTTTTCGAGAATTTCTGGTGTAATGTGCTCACGTGGTTAAGCATAGGAACATATGTGCATGTAGACGGCTCGGTTCGCAAGCTTCCTGGCTTTCTACGGTTCTTGTTTCTCAATGTTGTTTTTGGTGTTCCAAAGTTTCGCCTGGGATGTCTTTATTGGGTTTCTGAAGCTATATATGTCAGTCTCGAAAAAGTTCCGACGGACACCCCTCCCACCCCCAAAGGCACGAACACGTAATCCCAAGGCAGGTCTTCATTCGCTTCTGTTGCTCGTGGCAGGCATACGTGCGAGAAGGCAAGAAGAAGACAGATGCTGTGGACAGCTTCGTGGAGAAGGCGGGGTTATGGTATGACTTAGACTTTCAGGGCCAAGCACGACAGATGCAGCTTATTGGTAAGCACAGTCGTCACACATCCACATGCCGAAAGACTGCAGTCATGCAATTGTTCATATCTTCTTGCCGCAGCTTCTTATGCAAACACTCTCTAGATGGGTCTGCGCTCCGGCACAATGGCTTCAGGGAGGGTCGCAACATGCGTCCTCGTTTTGTTCCTGTGGCCTCTTGCTGTATGGCATGTGCCGGGTGCGGATCGGACCTTTGTGTCCTTCATTACCACATGTGACTCGAGGAATCACCTCAGACAAATCTCCCCAGTGGTTCGGCGAGTGCGGGAGCGTTTCGAGGGCAAAAAGCAAGTGGAAGCCAGGCGGTCCCAAGTCCGCCACAAGCGTGGGGCATCGGTTCCTTTCTTACTCAGTCGATTGCATTCTGCTGCACAGGAGGGAGACTTGAGTGAAGCCGAGTCAACTTTCAATCTTCTCTGCCTGCAGTCCGGAGAGCACTTCACCGTGACACAGGAGACTATTAATGCGATGATCTTCGCAGCCGCGCAGGGCGGCAATATTGAGCGAGCAAAGCACTGGTTCGGGCGCCTGGTGGATTTCGATCTCGATCCAGACGTGAAGATCTTCACTAGCATGATATCTGCTGGGTCGGAGTATGGAAATGTTAGCTTTGCAGAAGAATGGTTTGAAGTCATGGGCTACTATCAAGTACCGCCAAACGTCGCAACATATGGTGCCTTGATGAAAGCTGCAGCAAATGCCAAAGACCTTCCGTGTGCAGAGAAGTGGTTCAGCAAAGCGCAGGCTGCAGGTATTTGCCCAAATCATATTACCTTCAAAACCGTGCCCTGCATCAGATTTGCAGATGTTCGCTTGAGTGTAACGAACAGCTACACTTAAATCTTCTGTACATTTCCACATAGCAGCCTTCGCGAACCAGAATGCATGCACTGTACAAGCCAAGGTAATGAAGGCTGCTGCAAAAGCAGGAGATGTTGAACGAGCTGAGTGGTGGTTCGAAGAAGGTCGCAATCAAACTGGTATGGCTTTGGATACAACTGCGGCTACCACTTTGCTCCTTGCAGCAAAAGAAAGCAGGAACTTGCACAAGGCAGAAGCTTTCTTTGCCGACTTCCTGAAAACGGGACTGCAACCAAACTTCCAGATGCTGAACTGCCTGATCGCTGCTGCTGCCAGTGTTCGGCAGCCGAAGAAGGCTGCAAAGTGGCTTGATGAGATGAAGGATTTCGGTTTGCGGCCAACCCGCAGCTCATATGCCAGCCTGATGAATGCGTGGTTCAAGGCCGACAATCCTGATGGAGTCCTCGAGGTCATGGAGGAGATGTCCAATGCAGGGTTTCCATCCAATGTTGTTGATTACACCATGGCCATCAGGTCTGTGGGCCGTGCCGGACGACCCGACAGTGCAGAAGAGCTGGCACGCCGTATGCTTGAACAACGCGTTTATCCCAACGAGAGAACACTTTCAGCGCTAAGCGGTGCTGTTGGAAATGCTCGCTTCCGGCAGCTGGAACGAGAGTTGAAACTGCATCACTATATTGATAAGAATGTCGATCAGTCGCGTAGGCAGATTACTCAAAGATCCAAAGAAGCTGCCAGGCTCACTGACATCATGGCAGTGAAAGCAAAAAACCTGCGCAGCATACAAGCCGAGGCTTGACCACAGCCGCATGGACAGGATAGATTCGGATAGATATGGCTTGCTGGACACATTTAAACAGCTGTCGTCAGCCACTAGCACGACGATGCTGTTGACGTGGGGGCTCTTTTGTTGAGTTGGCATTCGCTTTGCTGGCACCAAAAATCCGCTCGTTGTCTCGCATGTGGAAGTTGACTTGGATCCTTTCGTCGTCCTGTGCATGTAGAGCAGACGACCTCGCAGCGACCTGAGAGCATGACTGCATGATTTCCGAACATCTCTCAGAGCAGCAAGACCTCCATATCCCAGTCTCAGCTTATGCCTGGCAAAGGTGAACGATGCAGAGCTGCCGTTCTTGAAGGGCATTGAGGTCCTACCCCTGACCGAGGCACGTGTCACAAGGACTGCTTATTGTACTGTAGAAGTGTTGGCCTGAATCGGATCCAGGCGTGCAGGGTTTGGGCGTCCCATTCGGCAACGTGCGAGATGTTTAAGCTTCGCTGCTCTCCTTCGTACCGGAAGTGTTTCTGTTGGTAGGACATCCCGCATGTAATGATGGTATTTGCCGGAAGTTACGAATCAGCATACGAATCCAGATTCGGGTGTAGTTGCTGACCCGACCGAAACAACAGCAAATGTCCCATTGCAACTTGCATAGTTCTGCAGAGTTGTATAAGGCTATGCGGTTACAGGGCTTCTGGGCGTGTTTCCCTTCACTCCATGATAAGGGGACCTTGATTCAGCCCAAACCCCGAACCACTTCAAACCCTACTAGTACCAATCGTGACAAGACTGCGACGCCTTTGCAGGCTACGTCCACCATCGACGCATCGCAGAAGGCAGCAACGGACCTACAAAGTGCCATCTCGGAGGCCTTGACAAGGGCATGGCTCTGGCTACTATTGAAATCATAGTTTCAGGCATACTGGCGGTGGCAGCACTACTACGTGTGCGTGCTTCAGCAGGCTTGGTAGATATGAACACAGTAGAGTATTGTTTCGGCAAAGTGGCGAAAAGTAGAGACCTGACCTACACTTCTTTATCAACTTTTGACAAAGCATCGACTTCAGGGATTTTCCGACGGCCTAGGCCTAATCAAACAGTCAGGGCTTCGTAGAAAAGGCACGCTCCAGCTAAGACCTTCATCCAACCGCTATCATTTGAAGCTATTCTGCTCTTTGTTGCTTGATGTTCATGGGGGAAAGACGCATGCTTTCATGATGCTTCGTGACTAAAAGTTTAGTTGTTGGCCCCGCAGTTTAGGGTTTAGACTCGTTTAGACCGTTTAGACTGGGGGTTGTTTCGGTTCAGAACGACTTTACGATTGCACGATATTGCACGGATTAATCACAGGTATTCTATGTCGTCACAGTACAATTTAACCTGCCTCAGCCCCTCCCCTCCCCTCCTCCCCTCCCCTCCTCCCCTCCCCTCCCCCTCCCCTCCCCTCCCCTCCCCTCCCCTTCGCGGCTGCCATTCATGAGCTGTTCATTGGCACGTCTGGATCCCAAAACGCCCCTCCCGCAAGGCTGCCCCTCAGCCTCAGATGCGGAACCCGAAGTCTTACGGGACAGGCGCGTAACTTCATCGCCGCGAAGAATGTGGAGATGAAGAGCTTCTCTGACAAGGCCTTGAACTTGATGCTTTACTTGCTTTAATTGAACCACAACAGATTCACCGTTAAGCCCTAAACCCTTCAGACTCTTCAGACTTGAACCCCGGAAGTTGATAGCAAACGCCGCGCGCAAGTTGCTCTAGGCAGCCCGTCCAATTCCAAGCTCTGCACCTCTGCACATGTGTTCAGGGCTTAGTTTTCGTTTTGTCCCACGTTAAGAGCTCTTCCGTTTGCCACGGCAGGAGAAGACGAAGCCCTTGATTGAGGAGCGATGCTGGGTGCTTTGCTGTTGAACCCAAGAATTCGGGTTGACAAACGCCAGCCCCAAAGCTGACAAGTAAAGCTTGGGCGCCGTAGAGCTTTCTGGGGCAACCTTCGAGGGCCAAGGCAGAAGTGCTCAGAGTTTTCTGCAGCCAGGAGCTCACCAATCTCACCGGCCGTGTAAATGCCGCGGCCACGAAGTTGGCCTCGCCAGCACCTCAGAGCTGCAGGGACCTGCTGGGTTTCGCGGGGCTCCATGTTCTGACTACTTGTAGTTCGCAGGGTTCGAGTTCCTGGGGCTGCAGCTGCTGCTATAGATTCTGGATTTTGGTTACATAAAATAAAGGACCCAAAGTCCAACACGTGCTGTAGCCTGATTTAGGTTTTGGAGACTCTGGGAGGTGGCAGAGCCTCCTACTAGGTAAACGGCTTGTCCGTCCTCTTCGAAGGAAGGACGTCTTGCCAAAGGGTCCAATCGCCCTAGATCTTGAACTGCCTAAAACCCTAAAAGTCGCGACCCATGATCCCCCAACTCAGCGCGGCACCCTAAACCCTGAACCCTAAACCCTGAACGCTAAACCCTGAACCCCAAACCCTGAACCCTGAACCCTAAATCCTGAACCCTAAACCCTAAACCCCGGCCCCTGAACCCCATCCAGGTTCAGGAAGGACACGGACACGCGGAAGCCGGGAACCCAAACCTTCCACGAGTCTCCATTTTTTCTACAGCGTGAGGGTCAGAGTTTCAAGAGAGTTTCAAGCTTCCGGCCCGGACGGGTTTTGGGCTTTAGGGCTTAGGGTTATTTGGTATGTTTAGTGTTTCAGGTTTTCGAGTTATAGGGTTCAGGGTTTTGCAGGTTTCAGGATTCAGGATGGTTCGGAATGAGACTCGGGTGGAGGGCTGATGAGGCTTGCATGGTTACAGCTACAGTGCATGCACAAGTACATTTCCAGCATTCACACCCAGGAGGCTTGCAGGGTTTCGGGTTTTCGGCGTCTGGGGGATCATGTTTCATCCAGCTTTCGCTTGGTGCTCTTCTTGGGTTTCACAGGTCGCGGTGCTTGGCTCCGTTTTGCTTAATTAGGCATGCCTAGGCCACAACTTCCTACTAGCCTTTCACCAACTTTCCGGTCTCGAAAATGATCGGGTGGAGGAAATTGTCGGGGTCAGGTTTGGCGGCAATGGTGCTACTGTGTTCTGTTGTTTGATTTCGAGTGTGCACTACTAATGTGGGCATGACAGCAATTCGATTTGCAATCCTACTGCGTGCCCCTGTACGCTTCAGAAAAATATCTGCTGCCCAGGAGTTTCCAAGGATGAAAGAACGCCGACAGAGAAGTACGAAAGCCGTCCGAAAGCCTGTCGGAAAACTGTTCAGAACTTGGGCAGCCTGGGCATCGTTTTCTCTTTCTCCATCAACCCTTCTTCTGAATCCATGCTCAACTCATGCTTTGGTATCAAGTCACCCATCAAACCCTACCGCCCTTGCAAACGCCTGAAGCCGAGACTCTCAACATCCCAAAACAGCCCCGTGAAGTCCCAAAGCATGTGAAAGAAACGAATGCTGCTGCGGCCAGGAAGAACGCTCTGCTGCAGGAGGCAGCCGAGAAGATTGCCGCAGCGGAGAAGGAGGCGGAGATTCTCATACTCAGAGAACCATGGGACTGTGTAACTAGGGTCATCAATAAGGTAACCATAATTATAACCCCAATTAGGGTACTTATAACCTTACCTACTAGGTCCCATGATCCTCCAAGTACGAAGCCAAGTGGGTCTTTAGGTGGTGGGAATTCATCGTAGGGAATGCCAAATCCATATAGCTGAAGAGGGTGTGTGGGTTTCCAGTCATCCTCCTTTTTGGATTTGCGTGCTTAGAGCGTAAAAACTTGGGTTTAGCGCAGGCTTTGAGGTCCAAACGTTTAGGATCACATTTTTCGTTTGGGGTTTACAGGCTCTTCGGGTTTTCTGTTCTGGGGTCTCCAGGCTTTGGAGCTGGGGTCTCAGGACTTTTTGGCACCCGCACAACTGTTTTGCGCCAAGGCCGCAGATGTATTACGTGTGCAGGTGTGTGTAGGGCTTATACTAATATCATAGCCTTTAGAGGTTTAGGGTTCACGATCGGCAGACTTCGGATCACTTGGTGGACGGGAAATGAGTGTTTAGGATTTCGTGCTGCAGGGTTAAGAGTGAAGAGTTAGTGATTCGCACTACACCCTGTACTCCACCGTATGCTAGACCCCAAACCACCATAGAACCGTCTGTTCAAGGCTCAGTAGGTCTTGGGACGGTTACCAGTCACTGCAAGCTTGGCTCTTTCTGTAGGGCTTATGATCATTTTAACTAATGTAGGGGCATTAATAATTAGAATAGGGCTGTGTGGGTTCCTTATTATACTTATGGTATAATATACGCCAAGCCATATTCTACTTATTAAGGCCGCCACAGTACATACAAATGTTAGACCGTGGACCTGATTGGTCCCTTTAGGTGTTGTCGTAGGGTTTAGGCCAGGTAGCTGTGGTGGAGATGGACACCATCATTCTCAAATCTGGTGACCCCGTAACTCTTATATCTACGGAAGCATCTTTGCAGGTACCCGAATCAGGGTTTCAGAAAGTATCTGGGCAGATGCATATTCACCCGATGTATTATTGAAATCCTCATGGACAAAGGGACCCCTAACTTTTCCTAGTCTATGGGGTATAACGAAGGCTAGTAACACTCAGGTGGAGTTGGTGACGGAGGCAGCTGCACCTCTTTCCGACGAGGTGCGAGAGCGAAGGTTTCGTGTTTTGAGTTTCGGACGTTTAGTAGGCTTGAGCGTCGCATGCTGAGGAGGTCCCCAGCACCCTTTTACCCTGTGAACTGCGCGTTTCTCTGTTTGGAACGCTGAACAACCGGGAACGGCTACCCTGATTATGTAAGGGATACTGGGCAGCCCAGGCTGGGGTGCTTGGGAGGCCCAGGCTTCACACTGATCTGTAGAACCCAAAGAGAGCCATCAACCTGAGTCTGTAGGCCCTGGAGTGGAGAAAGGCTTATCCAAGGCTCTAAGACTCTAGGCAGGGTGGTATGAGTTCTGTGCTGTTGATTTTTAAACCATGTGCTAGACAGTCATCGTCGCATCTCGCCCCAATTAGGGCTTTATAGCCGTATGTATGCCAGCCATGACCCAACGAGGGTTGCACCCTGTGGGCCCGTCGAAAATCATGGGACTTGCAAAGCCTGCAGCCCTGTGAACTAAGATAAAGGTCCGAATCGTTTGCGACAGTTTGCCGCCGGGTTTCTCTGGTATCAATAGTCGCATGGCAATGTAGATCATAAAGCCTCCACCGAAACCCGAGTCGGATCATTCCGACTTCGAAGGCCGTCTCCCATTCAAAAAAGATGCCCCCCCCCCCCAGGCAACCTTGAGCCACGAAGGCTCAACTTATCTAGTTACCAATGCTATTCCCTAGGGCTCCTTCCTGTGATTACACTATAATGTGCCGCAATTTGTTCTTCAAATGCTTGCGGTCCCTACATTTTTAGGTTCCGCGCACCTTCAGCTTGAGGCCCAAGGCATAGCTCCCGTTGCCCGTTTTGGAACACCGGTCCAGGCCGCAGAAGGGATGACCGCGGATGAAGCATGGTTCTCGGTTCGAGGGATTTCTTCAGGGTTTAGGGTTGAAAGTGTGGGGGCTTAAATAATTACCTGTACTACTTTGGGGGGTTCCTTAGGACAAGTATAGTACGATGGGCCCCAAAACCCTTTTCTAATTATCCGGGCCCCTATGTTAGGTGTTTAGGGGTTTGCAACTTTGGGTTTAGGCGTGTTAGGGGTTTTTAGGGGTTTAGGGTTCAGCGGTTCTCAGTTCGAGTGATTTCTCAGCATTTAGGGTTAGCAGTTAAGGGTTAAAAGGTCGGCATATATGAAGTTTAGGTGCTTTGCAGGTTTAGGGTTAGGTGCATGGTTCTAATTTCTGACTGTTTCTGTTTCAGGCTTTAGTTGCTTTGCACGAGGGCAATCCCAAAGACGGTCTTCCCGGTATCGCAGGTAATTAACTGTACGGAAGACAATGCAGACACTGCAGGTGTGATGTTCGGGTTTGGTGATATGGGCTCACGGTTAGGGGAGTATGGGTTGCGGTTGAGGTTTCACAAGCTTATTGAGGGATCCTAAACCCTGAAACCATCTTCAACCCTTAGCACTAACAAGGCCTAACCCCCCTAAATCCTAAAGGCCTAAACCCCTCAACCGTAAACCCTGCAAGCCCTAAACCCCTACATCCCCAGGCCGCCACGATTTGTGAGAAGGCCGGCACCCAGGCCAAGACGGCCCAGGCGCGATCCTGTATATAATATTCGAGAACCTACTACTGCAGCAAAATATCATGTACTAGAACAGATCACGATGTACTATGATGGACATTTGAGTACATTAGAATATGGTATGATATTGTTCCTTGTACTGTAATATTCCATAATCCCAATATAACCACTGTAATAAGAGTGCATCACAAGCCAATTTCCATATCTTATTGTCGATGCTAGGGTTTTGCATTTTAGGGTTTGTGGTTTAGGTTGCATAGCTTTGAGTAGGGCAGTAGGGCTGCTTTTGCCAGTAATGTCCCACCTCCTAAATTTTGAGCTTTCCCGCCTCGCCATGGGAGGCAGCCGTCGATGAGTCGAGGACGTTCTTGTCGGCTAGGCTTCGCGCGCACGCTTTCCCACTTAAGGGGTTAATGAAATGGCGTTGGGAGATTAGGGCTCTGGGTTCAGAGCGTTTGCTTCATGTAAGATGTAGTGTAGGGACATGGTGTTCAGGGATTAGTGTAGGGGCCTTAGTAATTAGAATATGGTTTTGGGAGCTCCTTATTATTAATACAGTATAGTATACCACAATCCGTACTCTAATTATTAAGGCCCCTATATGAGGAGGCTTTGGGCTCGGAGTGTTGGGTTTCAGGTCGCAGGATTTGTCCTTTTAGCACCTCCAGTTGAAGAAGCTGCCTTAAACCCTAAGCCCTAAGCCGTGGTCATTTTGAGGGCAGCCCATGATCGGAAAAGCAAAGCGTGGAAACACGCCGACCCCAAACGTCAAGGCGGCTCCGATTCCTCTTCTTGTTATGATGCATCTTAGTATTATTCCTGTTATTCTTATTGTTCTTACCGATTACATTAAATATCATGATTATTTACAGTATTACAAAGCATTTTTGGGTGGGTGACTTCCTTCCGCTGGAGAAGTTCACGACATTGATCAAAACCTACACACGTGTGTGGCAGTTTTCCTGTTGAGTGAAGTTTGCAAGAAGTTGCGTTTTTTAGAATCCTGTCTTGAGTTAAGTGGACACATGCATCTCGTGGCCAACGTAGTGTCGTGATATTCCGAGAAGCCAGCACGTACATTTTATACTCTCAGCTTAAAGCCCTAGGCCCTAGGCCAAAAACTCCAGAGTAATTTGGGGTTGAGGGTTGAGGGTTTTGGTGACTGAGGGTTCGGGCATAACGGTTTCGAACATGTAGCAATGTAGGATGTACTGTTTGATCTGGCTTGATGTTCGGGGTGAAGTTATGGACGCTTGAGGTTGTGGCTAAACCCCAAACCCTGAAACCCCAAACCGTAAACCCTAGGTTTACCCTACACCCGAAACCGTAGTTGCCGGTTGGCTTTCGGTGTCGGATCGATGCTAGGGCTAGGGCTTCGGAACCTTCTGGGTGTATACAATCCTACTGAGCCCCGCTAAGCTCTTAACCCCTTGAGCCCTAAACCCTAAGCCACGGTTTAGGGTTCAGGGCCCTTAACCCCCTAAGCCCTAAACCCTAAGCCACGGTTTAGGGTAGAGGGATTAAGCCTAAGCCCCCAAACTTAAAACCCCAACCCTATAATAGACCCTCAAAGCCTGAACCCGAAACCCCAAACGTAAAGCACCATGGCTGTGCAGGTCACAGGAGAACAAGGGCAATCTCGGCAACGCCGAGACGATCAAAAGTCTACAGGAATCCAGGGATTACATGCTTTAGGGGTTCACGGCAGTTCAGCGGTTTAGGGTTCTGGGTTAAGGCCTTTTAGGGTTTAGGGTGCTATGGTTTTAGGGTTTGGGGTCTGCAGGACGAATGCTCGTCACAGCTTCTTCTACCTGTCGTGTTAAACCCTAAACCCTAAGCCCTAAACCCCAAACCCTAAACCCTGACGTGTTACCACCTTTTGTTCTGCTGTTGCAAGGCGGCACTTGCACATGTAGCTCTATACAGTAGAAGCCAGAAAGTTGGAACATCAATATCCTCATGCTTTTAAGGTAAAGTAGAAGGGATCCTAGCACTAATCCTCCTAAACCTATGTTCCAACTTTCTTGGACTCGCTATAGCATGTTGAACAGCTTGGAGTTGAATCCTAAGTCCCAAATTCCTCAACTACAAAACTCCAGAGAGTCATCAAACAAAGAATCGAACATACGTCACAACCTTAATGCCTGGTGTTCGGACATGGCCTACATCCAAAAAGGACCGCAGGGAACCCTAAACCCTTGACGGTCTTCATCCGTGGGCCCCAGATCCTACCTTGACCCTGACCACTTTGGGGTTTTAGCTTGTTTTTGTCATGTTACATAGGGGGTCATGTTACATAAGGGGGTCTCACACGCTTAGGCTTTAGTAGCGTTTATAACAAATGTGCAGTTTGGGGTTCTGGTGTTCCGGCTAGGGGATTCAAAAACTTCCATATGAGCTCCCTAAAAAGCCCCAAACCTCATTATGGTTCCTTAAATCCGGAGTGTCGGAACCCCCGACACCCTAAATCCCAAACCCTAAACCCAAAACCCTAAACCCTGAACCCGAAATCCTAAACCCGAAACCCTACACCTTCTTCCCTCCCCCCCACATATGTCGCGGTGCAGACCCGCCTCAACGCTGCCGGCACCGCGCTCTCGAAGGCCAAGAAGGCCTCGGCGTCCTGCGGCCTTCGGGTTTGGGGTTCCGATAAGCGTACCCTCAGGATCCCTTTAAGGGCACCCTATAGGTTCATTAAAGGAACCCGAGGGATCTCTCTTAAAGGGAACCCTGAGGTACTACATGATGAGTGTACTCTATGATAAGGGGTACTATGATATGGGTACGACAACAACTATGGGTACAAGAATAGTGGTGCTATCATACTGGCACTGAAAAAAGGGTACCATAATGGTACTACATGATGCGGGTACTTTAAAAGGGTACTATAATGGTACCCAGAGAGCCCAATACCCCTGAATTAAGGAATATACCTTAAATCATAATGTTAAGGTCCCTATAATTTAGGGTATATTCCTTATTTAAGAAATATTCGGCTCTCTGGGTACTACATGATGAGGGTACTTGCCTTGGCCCAGGAGATCCAGACCTTGGTTTCGCCTTCGTGTGTTGCTTTGGGATGGCTTGGGACTTTTCCAAGCAGGCTTACATGTAATATGGGCCCTTAGGGGGGTTCTAGGGTCCCTTGAGGGTATATATAGGGTATATATAGGGTATATATAGGGTATATATAGGGTATATAGTAGGTATGTACTATGGGGTCGGAAGAATGATCAACATTGCTCCTTATGTTCGACGCGCAATCTTCTAAATATACGCTTTTCTAGATTCAGAAAACACTTCAGCTACAATCTTCTAAATGAACGTTTTTCTAAGATAAGCAAACACTAGCTTCACTAGCTTCGCAGATGACGGCACAGCAGCTTAGATACACTGGTACAAGACTATACCAAAAACCCTGAGGGCAGGGCCATGTCGGAATGAGTTTAGAGCGGCATGAGCAGGTAAACCACGATGCTTCTGCACAGAGTTTAGGGTTTAGGGTTTTTGACAGTGCCTGCCAGAAAGGGAACGCTCCTGTGATGTGGGAACCCAAGTCGAGAAACCCCTAAGTGATCCTACATAGATGCACCCAGTGATAGGACTGATAGGGTTTAGAACACCCAAGGTGCTCGATCAGGAGCACGGTTCCTAAGTGAACGCCTTCGAGCACAGGTGGTCAACAACCAGGAGCACAAGTTCGTTGCCAAGAAGCTGCTCCAGGAGGCTTAAGTTTAGGAACCCCAAAAGGACATACGCATAAGCATGTTATAGGGATATGTGCTTTTTGGGCCCCTAAAAGTCAAAATCCCAAATCCTAAGCCCGAAGCCTCAAACCCTAAAAATCCTGTCCTCAAAGCCCTGCACCTCGAACCCCAAAAACCCTGAACCCAACGCCCACTGCTGGATTCTTTTATTCGGGGTTCTCAACGTCGTGCTGGCTATCTGTTTGTAACATCGGTGCTGACTTTAAGATCTGTGAAATATTGCGCACGGAATCATGGGGGCTTTTGGAGCCTAGGGTTTTTTCTTGCCTTGGGCTTCAACGCCATCCGTTGTCCCAAATGCCTAAATTCTAGCAGCTCTTTGCAGGAGAACCCCTTCAAGAATTCCCCCATGATCATGGATCGTTGCTTCCGGATCGTAATTAAACCCGAAAACCCAAACGCGAAACCCTAAAAGCTAAACACGAACACCCTACACCCTGACCCCTAAAACCCTAAACGCCAAACACCAAATCCTAAACCCTAAGACCCTTCTCTAAAAAACACAAACCGCAAAGCCTCATTCAGGGCCTGGGCAGGAAAGGCCTCATCCACAGAAATCACCATGTACCGGTTCAACCTGCGGGCACGTGGTTGTTGTTCAGAAGTCTTGTTGGATGAGGAGGATGCAGCTGCTGGCTACCCGGTTCAGCCTTTTTGGCCATGGCTGCCCCTTTGTTTATTCCTTGCCTGTATAGAACCGGTTTTGAACCCGTGTATGGGTTTTGGGGTTTAGGATTTATAACCCTTGAAGGATTTTTTTCTATATTAGGCCTGAGCTGGCACCCTGTGTTTCCTACCCAGAAGTGCAGGTGAACGAGATGGTCGAAAGCCTGGAGACAGAGGCACCTGCTGGATCGGGGGTGTGCGGCTTCTGAATCTCGAAATCAGAATCCTCTAGAGTGTTGGATTAGGGTTTTAGGGTTTTTAGCATTCAGAAATCTGCAAAAAGTGTAGTGACGTGTTCAGGGTAGTTGGTTGCACAGGGCTGTGAGGCCAAATTACAAACAGATCCTAACGCGGCATGGCTAGCGAAAGCATTTGCAGGCTTGTGCGTGTTTGGTTTCGTCAATCTCTGCAGGCCACATCAGCTGAGAACAGCACGCGCAGTTCCAATCAGCGGTTCCAGCAAGTCTCAGAGGCATTGTGTTGCACGTCTCGAAACCGGACCTATTCCGAGGAGAACTACAGCCAATAATCTCGAAACCTGGCATTTTCCGGTAATTGCTATTGGCGAAGAAACATCTTAAATTCGAAGGGAATCCTACCCTACATGCCAAACCCTAGGCCCTACACCAAATCCTGGGCTTTGAGCGCTTCATTGAAGCCTTCCTAAACCGCATACTCTAAACCCTGCATCCTGCGAGGAAAAGGTGCGTTAAACAAAAAAACCTTGAATCCTGTACCCGAGCCCTCAACCCTACACTATACCCCAGGCTTCTACACTACACCCTACGCTCCCTCGGAATGTAAGCTAGCGAGGTGAAGGCTGCAGAGGAGGTTGCTTCGCCACTGCTCGAGAACGGCGGTGTCCAGTTCCTGGCAACTCGACCTCTGAAGTTCGTGGGTTTCGGATGTCAGAAGTCCATTTTCCTTAGGGGCTGAGTAGGTAACCTTTAACCTTCTGGGGCTTATATAACCCTACAATTCAAAAGGCTAACCTTTTCTTGGGATAGGGTACTCAGCCCCTAAGTTTCGGAGTTGGGACTTCGGGTTTAAAGGGCTTAAGATTTTGAAATTCGGGCTTCGAGGGTTTAGGATATAGGTATTCGGGCCGGAAGGGCTTAGGACAAAGGCATTACCAGGGGCTTCCAGGTAATGTAGGGGCCTTAATTAGAATAGGATTTTGGTGCCTACTATACTACAACTATAATAAGGAGCCCCCAATTTTGATTATTAAGGCCCCTACATTACTTTAAATGGAAGCTCCCTTGACAGTGGCTATGTAGAATCAGAGAGTAGTGCCCGGGGGCGGGGGTCGAGCTTATCCTCCTGCTACCTCGTTCAGCCCTCAACGCCGCACGTATATGCAGAACCCTCAACCCTCGACGCTAGAACCATCAAAAACACTAAACCCTAAACACAAAACACCAAACATTGCACCCAAAAAGACCCCTTGGAAATTAGGACAGTGAAGCCCTAAACACAAGGCCGGAGGCCGTCAAAGGTAGATTTAGGGTTTAGGACTTAGGGTCTAGGCTTTGGGGACGGTTTTAAGGTTTTTTTGTGGGGGTTAGGGGTGTAGGACTTAGGACCACCAAGACTTCGAATTGTAGGGGCGTTAGGCGTTCGGGTTTTGGGTTTTTTCAACTCACTCCGTTTCAGACCAGCGTAACAGTGAAAACCCTTCAAAACTCGCGAATCCGTCTCTCGAAGTCAGCACGAGCTGCTACTGCTGCTACTACTACTACTACTACTACTACTACTACTACTACTCCCACCACCACTACCACTATGCAAGAGCCGAGGTGGCTGCCAGCCTCAAAACCTTGGCCGCCGCCCTCCGCAGCTACATGAAGGAGAAGGGTCCCTTGGGCCTTGTTAGGGGTTTATCGTTGGGGTTTAGGGTTTGGGGCCCTTGTCGGGGCAGGCACTTGAAGGATCATGGGTAAGACAGGGGCCTTAAAAAGTAGAATAGGAATAGGGTTTTGGGGTCCTTTATAGTATATATAATAATAATAATAAGGCCCCAAAACAATATAGGTAATTATTGAAGCCCCTATAGGAAGTAGGGGAACTTCAGGCTTCGAGTGGAGGGCTGGGGGCCTATTCACCCTGCAAGTAAGTGCGTTTAGGGTTTCGGGAGTTTCGGGTTTGGCGTTTAGGGGGTTTGGGTTTAGGGGTTTAGGGTTTTAGGGTTTAGGGTTTCGGGGTTTAGGGGTTTAGGGTCTAGAGTCTAGGGTTTAGAGTTTTGTCTCCATCTAGTTTCGAAGCTGGTGGAGGCTTAGAACCACAGCTAAGACCTCTAGACCCTAAACCCCAACGCCTCAAAGACACCTGAAACTTGCTTTTTAACCCCACACCCTTTACCGTGCAGTTTGTTGAGGACGAAGCGTCGAACTTCGGAATGTTGTGAATCTATATGACTGCACCTGCCAGGGTTCAGCTTGATTTGCATAATTATTCAGCTCCTGGCTTCCGTAGGAATTGCTTAGAGAACCCTTCAAAGGAAGAGCCCTGTTCTCCCGTAAATCCTGAACCCCAACCCCCGAGGCCTCGATGTGGCAGCACTCTTCGCGGAGGCCAGTGGAGGCAACCGCCCGATGAGCAAGGAGGACGGCTATATGGGTTCCTTCCAGAAGGATTTGCATGGTGTAGGGATTTGGGAGTCTTGTGTCATAGTGTTGACGGAATTCGGTTTAGGGCCAGGACCTATGCCCCAGGCCATAATACTCTGAAGCCAAAACCTTCGTTTAGGGGTTGCAGGCATCATCGCCTTAGCCTATTCCAAATTCTTTTCACTAGCCATCGTGGTCAGGGAATGGACGAACGCCAAACCGAGCAAGATCTATGTCAACGCAGGGTATGTGCCCGAATGCTCCTTGAAACTCCAAACCCCGATTCCCACATCCTGAGCCCACGCCGACATATCCATCCAAGCCCCTTTACAATCCTTGAATCTCCAACAGTTGTCCAGAAGAGAGACCTCCAAGCCCTGAATCCTAAACCTTAATTCCAAATAGATCCGAAACCCCAAGTCCAAAACCCTATCTCTTAAATCTTCCACCCTCAACCCCCCCAGAAACCTTGAGACCTACTGCCTCCATTTAAAAACCATGTCTTCGTGAAGACGAGAACCAGCAGAGCTGTTTCAGGGTTTAGGATTTTGGGGTTTAGGGTTTAGGATTTAAGGTTTAGGGTTCAGGGTTTCTTTGCCTCCATTTAAGTACGCAGCCTCCAATGCCCAAAGTCTCGAAACCGCAGGCCCCAAACCCGAAACGCTCAAGCCCCAAAAGTTGAACCCTCAAGCCTCAAAGCCTAATTTGCAACCTCCAAGCTTTCAACCCCAAGCCCTGAACCCCAGACCGCTTTTCCCCAAAACCCGGAACCGAAACCCTCTGCCCTAGGCCCTAAACCCTGAACCCTCTACCCTAGGCCCTAAACCCGAAACCCTCTGCGCTAGGCCCCAAACCCGAAACCCTGAACCCTCTACCCTAGGCCCTAAAACCTAAGCCCTAAAACCCTAAACCCTTTACCCTGCGCCCTAAACCCTAAACCCTAAACCCTCTACCTTAGGCCCTAAACCCTAAACCTCAAACCCTCTACCCTAGGCCCTAAACCCCCTAAACCCTGAACCCTCTGCCCTGAGCCCTAAACCCTTAAACCTGAACCCTCTACCCGAGGCCCCCAAAAGCCCCAAAGCTTGGGTCCCAGGACTTCCTGTCGTACCTGAAGAAGCTGCCAGAGGTGGCCCTTTAGTGGTTCAGGGTTCAGAATTAAGGGGTATTAGGCTCACTGGGTAACTCCATGAAGAAGTCTGCAGTCCGTGCTGCTGCCCAACCCGGGAGACAAAGGAACAAAGCTTGCAACTTGCAATAGGGTTTAGGGGTTTAGGGTTTAGGGTTTTGAAGTTCAATGCTGCAGCTTCTTCTCCTCTTGGCCAGCACATTGTGTCATGCCGAAATCTTTTCTTGTGAATGAGACAAATTCTAGGTAGTGCGGTCCTCTTGCCAGAGGCAGTGTGTGCGAGAAGGCCGGCAGCGTACTTGCTAAATCCCGCAGTCCGGGCCGTTTCCAGCAAGAGCCTGGCAGGCTCAGCAAGACCTCAAGCCGATGTGTGCTGCAGGTTAGGTGCGGAAGCGTCTGACCCCCTCAAGGAAGTGCAAAGGAAAAACGAGCAACTCCGCGCTCAGCTGCGCAAGGCTCGTTGGCCCCAGTTGAAGCACTTCTCGTCGAATGGGAGGAGCCACATCCTGCCATTGCAAGCCACGAGCACAAACTCGTCTCGTTTGCCCTCGGAGTCGAGGCTGCCTTACCTATCCGGCTTCTTCGACGGGGATGGCTGCGTTTCTTGTAGTACAGACTCTTCCGGATGTATTTTGGAAGTAGCGCAGTCCTTCGACCACGCCGAGGTTCTAATGCTGTTTCATGAGTCATTTGGGGGAAGCATCATGCTTCAACACCCCGGTTTGGGCCTGCGTAAGCCCACTCTTCGGTGGAGGGCATGTGGTCAATCGGCACGACGGGCAGCTCAGCTCTTGGCACCGCGCAGCATCACCAAGCGGAAGCAACTCCTGCTCGCGGCCGAGTGGCCGGCTGCAAAATCTCACAGAACGGAATGCAGGGCCGAGCTGCGTGCGCTCAAGGAGTACGACTCGGCGGTCGCTGGCCCGTGCAGCTGGGAGTATTTTGCTGGTTTCTTCGATGCGGAAGGCAGTGTTGCCCAGCAGGATGAAGCAGCCACTCTGGTGTTGCAGATTGGGCAGAAGCATCCACGAGTTCTGAAGTGCCTTCGCGAGTTTTTGGCCCGAAGGCTAGGCAAAGGTGGCACCGTGGCAAAGTCGGGAGAATCTGCACATGTACTTAGGATTTGCGGCCTAAGCTCCTGTAAGCAGATACTGCAACAACTCTTGGCTGCTGGACTGCTGCGCAAATCGAAACAAGCGAACCTGGTTTTGGGCTTGACATCGGAGACTGCGGCCCAAGTCAGCAATGAGCTGGGGCACCTGAGTGGGAACCAAAAGTTCGGGCATAGGCTGGACACTGCTGGCCACGACAGGGCGAGGAAGATCAAGAATGCACAAAGGCAAGCTGCTCGTCTTATGCGACGAGGGCAGCTTGCTGAAGCCTTACCTAAGCTTGGGGAGGTTGAGGTGCTCAAGGAAGAGCACCAGCTGCTCAAAGCTTGTCGCGAGAACCAGCAGCTGCTTGAGTACATGCACAGACTGCAGAGCTTGCACGACAATTCGTTAGACAGGCGAGTTGCCCAGGGTATGCGAACGGATATGGCAGAACCGCAGTCAGAAGAACGGAGGCATGGAGTTTCGGGGTTTGGGGTTTATGGCAGTCGCAAAAGCGGTTTAGGGTTTAGGGGCGCAGGCTATTGGCAATCACTGGGAATCCAAGGTGCGCGTTTCGGGGGTTTTAGGGTTTAGGGTTCAGGGTTTTAGGGTTTAGGGTTTAGGCATCAGGGCTCAGGGTTTTAGGGGTGTGAGGGCTTCTAGCGGCTTCTTGGGTTTCAGAGGTGTAGGGTGTTGTTTCAGGTTTGGTGTTCCGGATTTTGGGCTCAGGGTACCTTAACAAAAGGGGCTACTTTCAGGGGTACTTACGCTCAGGGCTACTTGCTAGTACCGGTTTTAAGGGCTAGATCCCGTTTACAGGAACCCTTCAAATACGAGTTCTGTTTTAATTATTCAAGGCGCGTTGTACTAAACCTTCGTAGTGTGCCTTATAGAGGCATTGTGCAGGAGCCCTTCAAAAAGGAAACCCTATTCTAACTACAACGGCCGTAAACTGAAACCTTATAGAACCTCTACAGGAGCCCCTCACTGGAAGCCTATAGAGCCAGCCCCCTTTCACAGGAAACCTATTGAGGCCCCCTGCACCTGCCGTGCAGGCCGTGGACCGCCCTGAGGTGGAGTTCACTGAGGACGAACGTGAAGAGTGACCTCTTTGTAGGGTTTATAGGGTTTAGAGTCGAGAGCTTAAGGTTCCTTCCAAGGGTTGCATGAGGGTTTATTTCAAGGGCTCTATTTAGGTTTTAGAGTTTGGGAGTTTAGGGTTTAGGGCTTAGGATCTACTTAGGATATAGGACTTATTAGGGTTCAGGGGCTTAGGGTTCAGGGTTTTGAGTTTAGGGGTTTAGGGTTTACATGGATGACGTATAACAGAGGGAAAAATTCGTGGGCTTATCGAGGATTTCATGGAAAGTGTGCTCCGAGGCTTGGGTACCCCTCATAGAAGTTATGAGAAGTCTTCTAGCTCTACCTACAATGTAATGTAGGGGCCTTAATAATTAGAATAGGGTTTTGGGGCCATCATATCATAATTATAATAAGGAACCCCCCCCAAAAAAATAGTATAGGTAACTATTTAGGCCCCTACATTATCTAGGTTGAGGCTTCCTGATGCTTTGCGCTGTCACGCTTTCATTGGCAAGCTGTCCAGAAGGGAGGCACTCGTGTAGAATCCGGTGACATCCTGGAATCAAAGTTTTGGGGTTCTGGGTTTACATGTGTAACCAGGCCCGAAAGCCTCAAGCCGTAGGTGCATGAGCTCTAATCAAGCCACGCAAACCACGCAGGAGTTTCGACCAATCAGGGACCCTCATTTTTGCCCTTCACCGTCAATCATTGGTTCCTTTGTCACCCATTCTGTTGGAGCTTAGAGATTTTGGTCCCAGTAGTACCCTTCTGTCCTTTTCATGTTCATGCATGCCTCTCCTATCAAAACCGAATAGCTCTACTTCTGGTATGCGTATCATTAGGGGGCTACTGGGGAACTGTCAGGGATTGATCGATTTCACTTCATCCACGTCTCCTCTCACTGGAAGCCCATTCTTTGTTTGTGGGAGCTTCAGGTTTTGAGAGTTTGGGACTAAGGATTTAGCGCTCAAAGATTTAGGCGCTCAAGGGCTCAAGGGTCAGTATTTGGCCCTAAGCTTTTTTATAGTTTAATGGGTTCAAGGATTTATGGTTGGGTTTGATTTAAGGATTTCTGGGTTTCAGGTCTAAGGGTTAAAGTTCAAGGCTTTTGGGGTTTAGGTTCTTCTTCTTGACAATAACTGTTACGCCCCAAGCCCCGAAACCCCACATCCTACACCCCAACCTGAGCCAAAGCCCCTATCCCCTAAATCCTAAACCCTAAACCCTAAACCCTGAACCCTGAACCCTAAACCCTAAACCCTAGTAAATCCTAAATACCAAGCCCTCGATTGCAAACCAAGTGCTCGTGCCGGCGCCGCTCCTGCCTCAAGGCTCAGACCGTAGCGTTGCCCAAGAGACGTCCCAGTTTTGCCCCGCGAAATGTCCGGGGAAGGGAAGGGCAAGGGATGGGGGAAACGGCGCGATGACGCAGGCAGGGTTCGGGGTTTAGGGTTTGGGGTTTAGGGTTTACGATTATAGGGGGCTTTGCGGAAGGTTGCTATGATGCTTTATAGGGAGGCAAGGGTCAGGATGATGTTTCGTGCCCCGTGCTGGGCACGGGACATGAATCACCATTCGGTGCATCTTCATATCGATCTGTCTATCTGTCGATTTATCCATTTATCTATCTATCCATCTATCTGTCTGTTTGTCTATCTATGTATCCCTATCTGTCTATCTATCTATCTATCTATCTATCTATCTGTCTATCTATCTCTGTCTATCTATCTATCTATCCATCTATCTATCTATCTATCTATCTATCTATCCATCTATCTATGTATCTGTCTATCTATCTATCTATCTATCCATCCATCCATCTATCTATCTATCTATCTATCTATCTATCTATGTGTATGAACACATTTGCGTGTGGTGCATGTGTCCCCGAGGTTGCGCGCGCAGTCTTTCTTTTGCAGGACGAGGGCGGGATCAGGAGGGTTCAAGTGACGGATTTCAGTGCAAGGAGTACCGGGCCATCCGAAGATCCAAACCGTAATTCCTCAATGCCCTCGAATGCCTTTAGGCGGATTCTCGGTATTTGCAAGCAGGGTCATAATTTCCCCCCGTGCGTGTTTCAAGTTCTACGTGCTTGTGAGAGAGAAGCAGTTGAGCTCCCAAGGTCTCCTTTCAAAGCATCCAGCCATACTCGCAACCAGTATGTACCATACATATTCATAAATCTACAGTGCAATGAATGAATGAATAAGTAAGTATAAAAGTAGATACAAAACTACAGAAAAGTTAAATGAACTAAGAGATGCATAAATCAATAACATAGTTGTGTATGTATATATATATATACACACACACACCTGTTTTTTGTTTCTCTCTCTCTCTCTATATATATATACATGTACTACGCTTGCTCATGGACCGAACCTCCCATATCGCCGTGGGCAGGCGCCGAGGAAAAGATCCACCAGTACCGGCACTCGCTGGAAAGCGGCTACAGCCACTTGGGCCTGACTTTAGGGTTTAGGGTTAAGGGTTTAGGGTTTAGAGTTTATAGGGTTTATGTGTCCTCCTCTTCGTGGTGTTGAGCATTCGTTTTGGTTGAGGCTTTGCTGCAGAGTCTAGGACATTTCAGGTGGGTAGTTGCTGCTTTCAGAGCCTTATAGAAGGTCTATATACCTTATGGAAGCCTTATAGAAGCCCTGTATACCCTGAACTCCCCACCTGTAATTTCCTTTAGCAGAGTCCACGGTTTGGGATTGAGCCTCTCCTAGTTGCGTCTCTTTGCCGGGTCCTTGATCTGCCCGTGCGATGCATTACATGGCTTCACAAATCAAAATAGTACTTTGGTCGCTTAAGATAAAGCCAGATAAGGCTTAGGGTTGAGGAGCTTGGACATCATCATGGAATCTTACGAACCTCATAAAGCCCATAAGACCCTATGACCAGTCTAGTCTGTTCTCATTATTCACATCTTAACCCCAAGCCCTGGAAGCTTTTCAAGAGCCCATCAATCCCGTGACAGCGGCCCCCACCCTAAACCCTTCACCCTAGACCCCAAATCCTAAAGCCGAGAAATCCTTCAAAGCATGGAAGCCCCAGAAGCACTGCTAAACCCTGAACCGCAACATCAAGAACCCTAGAAACCCGAAAGCCTACAACCCACAACCCCAAACCCTAAACCTGTCTTTCTCACCAACTGTAAGCTTCTCTGCAGATGCCGACCACAGCGACGGAGACCTGCAGAGCGTCCGGGGCTCGGGTTTACGTAAGGGTTCCCATCCGCATTCCGTTAAGGGTTCTTTTAAGGGTTCCGTTCCAAGAAGGCTCCGTGTATGGGTTCCCTCACGGGTTCCTAAAATAAGGCATTCTGTATGTTTTATAGTAGGGGTTCTTCGGGCCTGCCTCAAAAGGGCTAGGGTGTACACTTGTGGGTTTACGGCTCTGAAAACTTTGGGTCTAGGGTTGAAGGTCAGGGTTTTGGGCTTTAGGGTTTAAGCTTGCGATTTGGGGTTTAGGGTTTAAGCTTTGGGGTTGGGCCGTTTTGGGCTTTATAGGGTTTAAGCTTGTGATTTGGGGTTTAGGACTCTTCTGGGCTAAGGGTATTCGGGAGCGGTGGCCCTCCAACCCACCGCAGGGGACCAGATAAGGGGATTCCAGGGCTTTGGGTTTAGTGCTTTTGGGGGCTTAGGGTTCAGGATTGAAAAGAGGCATCCATGTGGAGCCTTTTGATTTAGAGAGCTTTACCAAGACGTGAAGCTGCAGGGTTCAAGCAGGTCTGAGGGATACTCAGCTTCGGTCGATTTTCAGCAGGGTTTGGGTTTAGGGTTTCGGGCCCAGGGTTTAGGGTTTCGGTTCAAGCCAATGGATCCTGGATCCGAAAGCTGCAAAAATCTGCGGGCCTTATCGAGGAATCCCGAAAAGCCGCAGGTTTTGTAATATCCTTTTAACCTGAACTCCACATGCGGAAACAATCCTTCCAAGTTCATGGCTGGTGATACTCAGTTTTAGAAGTTGTAAGTCATAAGCCGCGGAGCTGACTTCTGATTACGTTGCTTGCAAACCCGAAACCCTAATAACCGGAATTGCCTATAACACTACTTCGCCCCTCCGAGCCGAGGTAGAGATGGATGCGCTCGTCTTCCTGCAGATCATGAAGCACTGCAGGCGGGCCGAAGAGCCCGGGGAGATCCGCCCGACCCTTTTTCTGGGACCTGGCTCTTTGGGGGTTTCATAGCTTTTGGGTTTTGGGGGCTTTGGGCCACAGGTTTTTTTATGAATGGGTCTTTGGGTTTTGAGGCTTTTGGCCACAGGTTTTTTGTGAATGGGTATATGGGATATGGGTTTCAGGCTGCTTGGTGTTTGCAGTTGGAGACCCGAAAATGGCTTTAACGCCTCAGATGCTTGGGGCCTGCACGTCAAGTCTGTAGCCCTGAAGCCCCGGAAGTTCTGTCTTAAGGTTGCAAGCTTTGAGGGATGGCGTTTTCAGGATAGAGCTTCTACCTCATGAAGTACCCTACTTGGAGGATCATGGGACTTAGCAATCAGGGTTATAAGTACCCTAATTGGGGTTATAATTATAGTTACCTTACTTATAACCCTAGTTGCTAAGTCCCATGATCCTCCAAGTAAGCCCTAGACCGTAAATCAAAAGGCGGTTTATGAAGTGCCTTGGCTGTGAGCGAACACCTTGAGGCAGTAGGCTTTGGACTTCCGGTCTCCACTGAGACCCAAAGTGAGGCAGTGTTTCGGTTCGGTGATATGAATCAATATTAGTCATATGGAGGTCCGAACAGAGATTTATAGTATCTCGTCATCGTCTGAATGATGAAAGATAGTATCCGGTCATAGTCTTAATATGACTCTAGCACCAGGCAACCCTAATCTTCTAGTCATGAAGATTGCCCCATTAGTGGGTTTGTGTTTAGGATTTCGCGCAGTGCAGTGCAATGGTAGCCTCATTCGCTTCTCCTGTCGTGATACTCCCTGTAACGAGCGAGACAACAAGGTCCGCCAGACTTCTTACGGAAAGGATTAAGTTAATGAAGAAAGCTGGGGACACGTTTATCTGGACCGTAAACCCTAAGCCCAAAACCGGAAACCTAGAACGCTTCCCTGAAAGGGGCCAGACTGGTGATCTGAGGCTTCCAGGCTGCTTAAGACATCTCACGCTATCGTTGTTCCAATGCTGTTCAATGCTGTTTTTTGGGTGGTGGGCTTTACCACAAGCCGTACACCCTACATCTTAGCCCCAGGTGGCAACTCAAACCCTAAACCTTAAACCCTAGGTTGCAACTCAAATCCTGTAGAAGCTTGCGGCCCGACCCGAAAGCCCCGCCACAGCCCCTTGAAAGACTGTGTGCTGCAGGCAGCATGCGCCGCAGCCCGTGACAGGCTTCAAGCTTTCGTGCTGAACAGCTTTAGGATACAGGGTGTAAGAGTTTCAGGGGCGTTCTCTCCGAACTCCACAAGCGCACGCCCAAGCTGCTGGATGCTGAAGCACTAAGGTGATCCCTACATCCTAGGTTTTTGAAGCCTGACAGTACTCGTTTACCTTTGCTTGCGTTTACACCCCTTGATTCATCAAACTCAGCAAGCCTCGAATCCCACATTTGCTCCAGCTCTTGTCATTTTCGTCTGTTGCATAAGACCCGCAGGACCTTCCTGGTATTACGCTATTAAATGCTGGTAGTTTTTAAAGGGGCTAGGAGTGGCTTGAGAACGGAGGGCACTTTGGCATTGGAGTGACTGCAAGTGATAAGGTTGAGGGTTTAGAATATGTTTTCAACTAAGTTCTGCATACGTGTCCCGAAAATTGGGTATCCAAGCCACTGCTACGTTGGCATCGGACTGTCCAAATCATTTAGGCAGATCAGCTTAGGGTGTAGGGCCGGTGTAGTAGGGTGAAGTAACATAGTCATAGGGTCGGAATACCCTGAACCCTGAACCCGAAATATGCGGAGCCCAAAACCCTGAACCCCACCCACGAAATCTTCAGCAAAGGGAACCCTACACCCTAAACCTCTAAACCCTAGACCCCTAAGCCCTAAACCCTAAAGCCTATACCCTTAAACCCAGGCTGTAGGAGGATGGGATATCGCCGACTTTGAGCCCCTAGGACCCTTGTAGTATAAAGCCAAGTTCTTAAACCCTCGACCCCAAATCCCTAAATCCCTAAACCCTAAACGCTTAACCCTAAACCCTAATCCCCAAACCCTAAACACTTAACCCTAAACCCTAAGCCCCTCACCCTTAACCCTCAACCCAAAAACATTCCTCGACCCGCACTGTGGAGCCTGGACGCCATTAACCTGAACTCTCCCGCAACGCAGTTTAGGGTTTAGGACATTCAAAGGGGTTTAGGGTTTCAAGGGTTGGGGACTAGGGTTTAGGACATTGAAAAGGGTTTAGGGGTTAGAGGTTTTTAGCCTTTGGGTTCTTAGGGTTTGGTTTTTTAGGGTTTGGGGATAGGGGTTCGGGGTTCAAGGCTTTCAGTGGGGATTTGTTGGGTCTAGAGCTTGCTGCTTACAGTCTACAGGCTAAAGTTTAGGGTAAGGAGCCTTTGGGGTTGAAAGTTTAGAGTTTAGGGTTTAGGGTTTTAGGGTTTAGGGGTTCAGGGTTTAGGGTTTGGTAACTTAAAAACCCGGGCGTGCAGACATGCAGGAGCCTAGAGCATCAGTAGCGGCAGGACCTGGAGATCCCCTTCATGTCCGCAGCCACTTATCTGCAGGTCCCATCATTGCTCCGTCATAACTCCTGAGCCATAAACCCTCGACCCTAAACTCTAAACTCTAAGCTCTAAACCTGCAAAACCCTTAACCCTAAACTTTAACCTCTAGCCCCTAAACTCTAAGGCCCAAAAACCCTAAAAGCCCTAAACTTTAACCGTCAGGCTCGAAGCTCTGAACCCTAAACAACAAAAACCAAAAAGCCTAAGCTTTGAGCTTTAGCCATTAACCCTGAACACTAAACCCTAAACCCTGAACGCTAAACCCTAAACCCTGAATCCTGAACCCTAAACCCTAAACCCTGAATCCTGCACCCTATAGCCTAAGCTGCTGGTCTCGTGGCCATGGCGAGCCACGACATCGAGGACGTGGACAAAACTTCGGATCATGCGGAAGAGGCCATGGCCACCTTAAAACCTAATATAGGGGCCTTAATGATTAGAATAGGGTTTTGGGGTATATTATACTATAGTTATAATGAGGACCCCCCGCCAAAAAAAAAAATAATGTAGGTAATTACTAGGGCCCCTACATTAAAACGGTGGTTTTTGGGAAGAGGCCAGACTCTTAGGTTCTGAGTGTGGTTTCGGGTCATGGCGAGGAGACGAGACTGTTCGGGCTCAGGGCTTTGGGGTGCGCCAAAATACCGAAGCTCATAGACAGTTTGGGTTTAGGGTTCAGGTCTTTAGGAGTGTTTAGGGGTTGGCGGTTTAGGGGCCCGACTCGGAAGTTAAGGGTTTATACCTTAACCCACAAAGCACTCCCTTTGGAGGGATATTTCTTGTGATTTCCTTGTCGGAGTCTCTAAAGAAGATAGATTTTGTAGGGTCAAGGTAGTGCTGTAGCCCCGAACCCTACAAAACAGTTAGGCTATGACCCCGTAGAACCTCTTTAAAACAGTAATATAGGTCTAGGACATTTTCAGGTGGGTAGATACGGTTATAGGAGCCTTATAGAAGGTCTATGTACTTTATAGAAGCCTTATAGAAGCCCTAGATTGCCCTAAACTCCCCACCTGTAGCTTCCTTAAACCCTAAACCCTAAACGCCAAAACCTTAAACCCCCCCAAACCCCTAAATCCATAGGTGCCTTAATAACTGAGCTTTCAGGTTTCAGGCCTAAGGTTTGGGTCGTGGTTGGGACTTTGCGCACCTTCATTGTGCCGGTTGAGGTTCGCTACCTTGGGTCGCTGAATCTCCGAAGTTCTAAACAGCAGGCTTGGGGATAGGTTGCGGACTTCGGAATTGGGTTTAGGGTTTAATAGGGTTTAGGGTCTAATAGTGTTTAATTAGGGTCTAACGGGGTTTAGGGTTTACTAGGGTTTAGGGTTTAATAGGGTTCAGGGCAGGGTTTAGGGTTTAGGGTTTAGGGCTAAGTTGTGGAGTGTAGGGTCTAGCGCGTTGGAGCCTTGGGCAAGGAACCTCTGCGCTGGGTCTTCCTCCACTGTGCGCTGGATGTGCAGCTGGGCCTTACACGGTTTAAGGTTTAGGGGTTTAGGGTTTAGGGTTTAGGGTTTAGGGTTTAGGGTTTAGGGTTTAGGGTTTAGTCCTAAGTCCCAAGGCTCTATGAACTCAAAGACAGCGAGTCCCAGAAAGTTGGAGCATGGGTTCAGACTAGTGCTACAATCCCTTATACTTTACCTGAGGGGCATAAGGATAATCATGTTCCAATTTTCTGACTTCTACTATGGTATATATTTTGGCTTACAGGGGGGTTCCTGTATAGGTACTTTCGGGTCTATATATACATATTTATATATATATATATACTGCTACATAGGTACATGAAGCCCTAACCCTAAACCCTAAACCAAAAAACCCTAAGCCTAAACCCAAAACCCAAACCCCTAAACCCTAAACCCTAAACCTAACCACTAAACCCCTAAACCCNNAACCAGGTAGGCCCCCGAGTCTCTGTGAAAACTTCCCCCTCCAAACCCTGCACCCTAAACCCTAAGCCCCTGTATATACGATATAGGTACATGGGTAGGTTTCAAAATTAGGGTCCATTTTAGGGTCCTTTGTATAAGGGTGCCGTACTATATTGGGGACCTGAAAAGGGACCCTAATTTAGAGAACTACCCACATGAAGCCTCTGAAAAGTCCTACCTTCCCCGAAACTCCGAGCCAAACTCCGAGGGCGGATCGCTGCCGGTTAGTTTGCGTTGAGGGTTTGGGGTTCATGGCTTAGGGTTTCGGGTTTGGGGTTTAGGGTTTCGGGTTTGGGGTTTAGGGTTTCGGGTTTGGGGTTTAGGGTTTCGGGTTTGTGGTTTAGGGTTTTGGGTTTCGGGTTTTAGGGTTTGGGGCATAAGGTTTGGGGTTCGGAGTTCAGGGTTTCGGGTTCAGGATTTAGGGTTCGGTTTGGGGTTTGGGGTTTAGCGTTTACGGCTTCAGGGTTTAAGGCCTGGGGTTTAGGGTTTATAGGGTCTAGTGTACGTAGGGTCCTCAACCCTAAGCCTAAGTCCCACTCCCCGGAGGTCGGTGTTTATTTTCCTGACGCTTCCTGCGATCTTCATCTGCATCACCGGGATCTTTGCTTTGGGCCTGGGGCCGGCAGAGGGCTGGACGGTGCACGACGCCTTCGGTTTCATGTGGGGGGCCAAGCTGTTCAGGGTCCTGACAATGATAAGTAGGATGAACTTAGGTGGGATTGAGGATCTCTTTCATAATGATCCCTTCGAAACGTGTCAGGGCTGACCGAGGCGGGCGAATACTTGGGCTGATGCCTTGCCTTTTTTCTTAGGGCTCCTGGCCTCCATCTAACATGTCCTAGCGGGTCTGGATGGAGCGTTTAGGATGCCGTTTTCTGCCTTCAGGCCAGGTATATTTGCGAATAAAGGGACTTGCTCAGGGTTTGGGGCTAGGCGATCCTTCTCACCTCTCGAACTAGCAACTAGTACCTGGTGAGAAAAGTTTGACACTCATAGTTGCAATGAGAGTGATCGACTTCATAACTATACAGGCAATGAGGTCATGCTAGTCGTAGCAACACCACTACGAGCGACAGCTACGAGGACGACGAAGACACTTATGGCAACATTGCAGCATGTTTACCTACGACTAATCCAAAGAAGCCATCATGATGACTCTGTGATCGCATTGCTACGCAGAGAGGTAGTGATTTTGGCATCTTTTAGATTCGGCTTGGGCCTGCACACTGCCGCTATAGTCTCCGTTGTAATTCCTTTTTTGCAGCCGGGCTTTATGTTTAGGGTGTCAGAATATGACCAAACATGAACTAGTATGGATGCTGTAGTACAATAGGTACACCCCACTATTACTTATGCCAATACTACTCCGCAGGGTTCCTTACCATATCTATACCCAAACATGCTTCAAAAGCCCATTCTAATTAATTACCCGAACCCCCCAGGTACCTACTATGTAGGGTACTAGAGCCCCTAGGGCCCTGTATAGTAGGTGCCTGGGGGGGTTAGGTTACTACCTCCCCATTCCGCCGAGCACTTTTGCAGGTGCGCCGGAGTGACGGGTGGAGCCATCCAGATCCAAGGGCACGCGCTCACGCCACAGTCGCACATCAACAGGACCCTAGACCCTAAGAACCCAAAGCCTACTTTTTTGTAATCCCATATCAGGGCTTATAATCAGAGCCTCAAAAAAAGTGGGTTTTGGGTTCTTAAGGTAGACCCTAAATATAAACCCTAAACCCGAAGCCTTGCGTTCCGGTATTGCGTCAAGTTGCATGGATCGGCGTTTTTGGTGGTGTGGATGCTCGTCGCAGTACGCAAGCGCAGGCGACCCCCTTTTGAACCCTTCATAGTAGCCCCTATAGAGCTCCTCTAGAACGCTTACAGCCAGTATAGAACCCTTAGGAGCAACCATTATAGAGAACTCCAGCAGAACCCTTTAGAGCCCCTTACTAGGAGCCCTCTCTAAAACCGTATACCCTAAACCTTAAACCTAAACTAAACCCTAAACCCTAAACCCTAAACCCCAAACCCTAAACCCCTAAACCCTAAACCCTAAACCCTTAAAGGAACCCCGAGAAGTGAGGACTGTGGCCGCCCTCCTCGGCTGCTTCGGCGTGGTTCTCTTCGGCACTTCGGCCATGGTGGATTAGGGTTCAGGGTTTAGGGTCCTTGCAGGGTTTAGGGTTTAGGGTCCTTTTAACACCAAAGCCCTATTCTAAATTTGGGCCTAGGCTTCAGGGTTTAGGGGTTCAGGGTTTAGGCCCCTGTGTCATAGTCAGGATCCCGTAATTCTTGGAAAGTTTGAACATTGGTTGGAACAGAGGGTGATGATGCCTTGGTTTGTTTGGTCCTGGGGAAATAGGCACTCTTCAGAACCCCTAGACGATCCACTATGTGTGTCGACGGCAGTGGATATGGGAGTTTCCGAAAATATGGGGTACCTTATTTGGGGGGTCCTTTTAATAAGGATCCTACGATTCAGGGTACTGATATTGGGGTCCCTATTTTCGGAAACCCCCATGTTGAGGTTTTCGAAGAGATGGACGTTGGCGTTTGTGTTCTTGCCCATGTTCTTGTCAGTGTCACTGTCTTTGTTGCCAGTGTTGTTGTCCCGGTCGTCGGCCTCACTGTCGTCACCACAGACCTAGCAACCCTACCCAGAGACTCCAAGATCCCTTAGTTAAGGAATATACCTTAAGTTATAGTAGGATCCCTAATATGAGTACACCCCAAACCCTAAACTGCCGCAGAAACGAAGTCAGGCCTGGCAATCGCGGTACTCAGCGCTCTGGTCCCCGACAGGCACACGGGACTTTCGGGGTCGCAGGCCTCCGCCCTAAGACTTTAGGGTTAGGGTTTAGGGTTTAGTGTTTAGGGTTTAGGGTTTAGGGTTTACCCTAAAGTTTAATTCGGGTTTAGGAGTTTGTCTAGACTCTAGACCCCCTAAACCCTGCAAATGTTTGGGGTTTTCGGAATTCAAAAGCTTCGCGAAGGCAGTTAGGTGGAGTTTAGGATTTTTGTCTTCGGACTCCCGAAGCCAAGTTGCGCCAAAGCAGTGTGCCATTCCTTCGAGTTCCCTGCTTAAACCACAGTGCAGTGTAATTACCTGAAAGGCTTATTATCTGGCCTGCAGGAGCGATGAACCTACACCCTAAACCCGCAACCCCAAATCCTCAACCGCAAGCCCTCAACCCTGAACCCCGAACCCTAAAGCCTGAAGCCTAAAGGCCAAACCCTAAACCCTAAAGCCTGAACCCTAAGCCCTAAACCCCTAAACCCTAACCCCTAAACCCCTAAACCCAGAGCCCTAAAGGCTGGAACTAGAACCGGCATCCCCCTGAAGGCTGCTGGCCGCCACGGGACTGCTTCCGAAGGCGCAGCTCTGAGCCCCTACCTTTTGTGGTTTAGGGGTTTACGGTTTAGGGTCTAGGGGTTTAGGGTTTAGGGTTTGGGGGTTTAGGCTTTAGGGTTTAGGGTTTAGGGTTTAGGGTTTAGGGTCGAGGGCTTTAGGGGTTTCGGGTCTCCATGCTGGTGCATTTTCTCGTTAGCCAGCTCTAAAATTACAAAATTGGTTAACAACCGGAGGAACTACAGTGGAGACTATATAGGTAGGCCTCAAACCCCTCGACTCTTTAGGATCTAGGCTTAGCTGGCTATTCAAGGGATTGTGCTCATTATGCCTGCGGGGGTAAGGGTGGTAGCAGACGCTCGAGCTGTGTGGAAGCTGATGCTTATTCGAGGGGGCTGGAGGACTTCGAGATTTGGAGTGGTGCTGGAGCTTGAGAGTTGCAGGGTTTTGGGGTTTGGAGTTTAGGGTTTCTGCATTTTTTCCAGGCTTTTGACTTTAGCTTGTGCTGGGACTTCGGTAGTTGCTGTTGATTCCGGCTAAGACTGACCGTCAAAGCAGAAACAGTATCCCTAAACCCTAAGCCTTAAACCCTAAACCGTAAACCCCTAAACTCTAAGCAACCCCCAACAAGAACCAGGGTTGTTAGCTCATGTGGGTTCGGCCGGACTGCCGGGTTGGGTTAAGGACCCACATTCGTGTGTATGTACATATGTATATAATGTATGTATGTATGTATGTATGTATGTATGTATGTATGTATGTATGTATGTATGTCTGCATGCGTATATATATATATATACGTATACATGCTAACATACATATACATATACATATATATACACTATTATTATCATTGCATGTGTTGTTTATATGTTCATGTTTATTGTATTTCTTCAGTATTGTTATTATTATCATGTTTTTGTTCTTACTATGATAGATATTGTTGATAGCATTATTGTTATTGTTACCAAGATCATTGTTATCAGTATTAGTAGTAGTCGTAATATAATGATTCATCCGAAACTCTTAACCCTTCAGCCCGGAACGATCCATTTAGTTTAACGAAGCGGGGCTTGGGTGCATGGTGGGGCCGCGGGTTGCAATGGGGTGCTGTGGGCTTTTTTCGGTGTCTGAGAACCACTCAACGGCTTTATTTATAGGGCAGCCCTAAACCCCAATTCCTGAACCCTCAACCCTCTACCCTAAACTATACCCTAAACCCTTCATCGTGGGGGTTAATGGTTTAGTCTGGTCGGCTCTGGGTTAAGGACTGGGGGTCGAGGCTTGCGGGCTTCCGGGCAAGGGGTAGACCCCCTGCTTTAAACACGCGCCGCAGATTGACTGCAAATCACAAGCTTCAAGCTCACAATCTTAGGCGCTGCGCTGCAAAAACCCAACTAAAGCACAGCCGAACCCTAAACCCTAAACCCTAAACCCTAAACCCTAAACCCTAAACCCTAAACCCTACATACATATCCCGGCCCTTGGGCCCCTAATCCCAAGCCAAGTGCTTCGGTTCTCCTTTCTCGGGCGGGGTGCGCGAAAAGGTTGTGACGCGCCGCTCGCCGCTGCGGCTGGGGGCGCTCGTGCCTCGTCCGAAGTGGCTGATATTCATGCGTTTAGGGTTTAGGTTACAGTATTTCGTAATATTCCTGATGGTCTTGCAGCATACCGCAACATGTCGCTTGAGTACCCCTCAGCTACAGAGGCCTCAGTATTCAGAATAAGGCTTCGGCTGTTTATGTTAGCAGAAGTATATGAGGACTACAAGGGAACACAACTATTGCTTCTTAAGACCTCTGCCGCAAACCCGAAGGTCGTCGTCGTCGTTCTTCTTCAGCTCTGCGTCTCCCTCGTCTTCGGCGGTATCCTCGCCCTACTCGAGGCCTCAGAGCTTGCCGGTGAGACGCAGGATTCAAGATCGAAGCCTGAACAGTTACAGTGCCTACATCAGCCCTTATGGTTCCTTCATGATGTTTTAGGGTTTAGGGTTTATACTTATGCTTTAACATACCCGGAATTTCATTCTAAGGCCCATATTAGAGGGGTCGGAGTCATGGTGCATGGCTCGTGAACACTGACACTAATCCGTAAAGCCTATCACTAGACTAGGCCCTAAACCCTAACCTTGTCAATATCAGGGTTAGTAATTACCCTAAAACCCTGCCCTAATTTTTCCGGCCCTTATATTTAATCCTAAACCCTAAACCCTAAACTTATGGGAATCAGGGTTCACACCAGAATCCCTTGTAGTTCATCCCCTGACGGTCTGAACTTGAATCTGATGGGCATCCCGGGTTTATGGGGTTTAGGGTTTAGGATTTATGGTTCAGGGTTTAGGGTTTAGGGTTTAGGATGGGTCAAAAAAAGAGCCGCATTTACTACGGTAGAGTAGTATTCTTTAGGGTTCCTGAATATAGCTCGTGTATACGATTCTGCAAAACCCGATTCCAATGAGCTAGTAGGTTCAGGCCCCTACATTGGGTAAAGAGAGGTCGGCAGAACCAGTGGCTGATGTGGATCCGAAGGGCGGTTGCTTGCGCCCCAAGTCCTAAAGCCAAGGTTTGCAGGGCCTGCCCTGAATCCCTTAACTCTTGAACCCCTAAACCTTGAGCCCTAAATCCCTAAACCTCGAAGCCCTGAACCCCTAAACCCCTAATCCCTGAGCCCTAAACCCCTAAACCCGAAAGACGGTGACCATGGATTCAGGCTCGAGGTTAGAGGAGGTTGGAGGGTTATGAGTGAAGTTGAGGATGCTTAGGGATCAGGGCTGGGTGGTCCGCATTTAGGGCATGGGCGCCTCCAAGCGAACTCAAGCTTATTTGATGTAGGGTTTGCGGAGCATTCAGACAGCTGTTTTGTTTGAAGATCCCTTGCATTCCTGAACCAAAGACATGAAACGAAACTCCCAAGCTAAAACCCAAGTCCAGTCTGCGCCACAGCTCAGCCCTACGAACCTCATCTCCAAATCCTCTAAAACCCTACTTGGAGGATCATGGGACTTAGTAACTAGGGTTATCCATAAGGTCACTATCATTATAACCCCAAATAGGGCACTTATAACCTCACTTACTAAGTCTCATGATCCTCCAGGTAATTCCTAAACCCCGAAACCATCAGCCCCAAACCCTAAATCCTAAACCCCTAAAACCTAAACCCTAAAACCCTAAAGCCCTAAAGCCCTAAAGCCCTAAATCCTAAACCCTAACCATTCCTAAACCGTCCAACACCTGGAGGGATGGGACTTCCTCCCGGCATGGCCGCTGCGATGTGAAATTTATTTTAGGGTTTAGGGTGTAGGGGTTTAGGGTTTAGGGTTTAGGGGTTTAGGGTTTAGGGTTTTTTTGGGGTTTGGGGTTTAGGGGTTTAGGGGTTTAGGGTTTAGGTTGAGTTTTATGTAGGACTTTCTTCGTGGGTCTAGTGTCTAGGATTGATGGTTTGGGGATTCTGGCTTACATTGTTAGGTTGGACATGGTTTTCGGGTGTACAGCCAGGAGCCAAAAGCACAAAACATAAAGTTGTGCGTGGTCCCTTGCAGTGCTGGCTTGCTTATCAAAGAAGGGTTTGTCTCATTCATAAAACATCCTGACCCTAGGGTTTCTATGTATGTGCCTCTTGGGGCCCTTCTTACGAAGGCCACACGTTGCAGGGGTGATTAGGGCTTCGAGTGCTTAGGGTGCAGGGCTCATGTGTTTGGGGCTTGGGGTCTAGGTCTTCACGGCTTTTGGGTGCATGGGTGTAGATTTGTTAGGGTCTCGGGTTTGTTTAGGGTCTAGGGTTTGTTTAGGGTTTAGGGTTTGCTTTTTATGGCTTAGAGTTATTCGGGTCAACCACAGTTCTTTGGGCTTTTGGGTTTGAGGCTTTGCTTTGGGTCCCGGCTGTTCATGGCAAGCTATCGAAGAGTCCGGCCCCGGGCTGATCTTGGGTTCAGGTGTTTAGGGGTTTACAGGTTTGGGTTTAGGGTTTAGGGGTTCAGGAGTTGAGAGGTTCAGGTGTTTAAGGGTTTTAGGGTTCAGGAGTTTAGGGGTTCAGGGGTCTAGGGGTTCAGAAGTTTAGAGGTTCAGGGGCCTAGGGCTTGAGGGGACTACTTGGAGGATCATGGGACTTAGTAAGTAAGGTTATAAGTACCCTAATTGGGGTTATAATTTATAATTATAGTTACCCTATTTGTAACCCTAATTACTAAGTCCCATGATCCTCCAAGCATCTCACAAGCCTCATGAGCCCTGCCTAGAGTCTCCATGGCACTATGACTTGATGAATGGCTGGGCTCCTTAGGACGTAGACTTCCGGGTTTCCGAAGATAAAGGGCCCTCACATTCTACCCGAAATAGTAGGATCCAGGGTTTAGGGTTTAGGGTTTAGGGTTTAGGGTTTGGGGTTTAGTAGGATCCTTGTATTATATGGAGCCCAAAGTAAGGTACCCCCTTGCTTTCGGAAACTCCCACTTCTGGCTCATGATCCCAGGGTCTAGCGGAGGAGAGCTGCGGGTTTCAATGGATCGTAGACGCTGGGTTCTGGTTCCTAGAACCAAATGCTTTAACCCTAAACCCTAAACCCCTAAAGCCCTAAACCCTAAGCTCAAAGACCTAGTTATCGGGATCCAGTTACTCGGGACGGTAACGACGAGGCCGTAGGACCCGACTCAGGAAGTCAATCCAATGCCAGGTGGCCTACTTAAAACGCAACGAGCCAGAGCAACCCAGAGAGCCCAATACCCGTAATTAATGAATATAACCTGAAGTTGTATTAAATTATAGGGGCAGTCATATTATCATTTAAGGTATATTCCTTAATTAAGAGGTATTGGGCTCTCTGGGAAGCCCCGTGACCCCTAAACCCAGCTACCTCTAAACCCCTAATTAACGCCGTATAAACCCTGAGAGTTCATGTCGGTTGCCGGTGTCCAGGACTTAATATAGGGGCCTCAACAATTATCTGCATTATTTGGGGGGTTCCTTACTATGACTATACTCAAAGGACCCCAAAACCCTACTCTAATTATTAAGGCCCCCTACATTACGGCCAAACTAGAGTTCGCTACCTTGCCGCTTACTTGTCGCTGCCTGAAGAATCCACACCATCTGGCGTGGCGGAAGCGTTGGAATTCCTACATCAACCCAAAAGGCCCTAAAGGAACAAACCTAAGACGTAGACAATGAGCTTCAAAATCCGACATGAAAACCCGGAAAGGACAAGCTGCTACGTAGAACAGAGCTCCAAACCCCAAACCTCAAATCCAACAAAACCCTAAACCCCCAAAAAACCTCAAATCCAACAAAACCCTAGACCCTAAACCTCAAATTCGACAGGTGACAATCGCGCCGATGATCCCACCCTTTTAGGTCCCAAACCGACCCGAAGTTCGGCGTAACGTAGGGGCCCTTAATTATTAGAATATATATATATTTTTTTGTTTGGGGCTGGTTCCTTATTGTCATTGTAGTACATTATACCACAAAACCCTATTCTAAGGTATAGTGTACCATAATGATCCAAAGGAATACCCCGAAAACCCTATTCTACTTATTAAGGCCTCTATGTTAAGTAGCTGGGGCGAGTTGAATATCCCTAAACCCCAGCAAGGAGGGCGGCGATCTCTGCACAGCTCGGGGGCGGCCTCCCTCTGACGATTCCCATCCCCTCGCAGACGCTGTCAGAGCTGGTCGCGGGCTCATTGGATCGTGTATCGCGCCTAGAGTCGGCCTAGAGACTCCAAAAGCCGCTGAGGGCCTAAATAATTACCTATACTATTTTGGCGGTTCCTGATTATAGTTATAGTATATATCATACCCCCAAACCCTATTCCAATTATTATATAATGCCCCTATATTGGCCACATACCCTCAACCAAAGCTATATGTGGTAATTCAAAGTAGGAGTCCTTTTGATGTAATTGTTGAGGGACGTCTAAGTTGATTTCAGGCATCTTCCCTTCATTAAGGGGCTTTGGAATTTCTGTGTGGCTCAGGGCCGCGCAAGGTCTGGAGATCCCCTGAATCCTGAACCCCTTTCCAGACCACCTGAAAGATCTAAACAGTAGATCCTTTAAAGGGGGTTCCTATAAAAGACCCTTTGGGTGTATAGGTTCCCAAGTTAATTAAAGGTTCTACTTTCCAGATCCTCCCGGGGGTCTGGGTTGTAGATACTGATGACCAGTCTTTTTCCCTGCTTCCTTTCAAGCCTCAACATTGAACCCTAAACTCTAATCCCGAAACCCTAGTGAGCGTCAAACTTTCAACTTTAGATTGTAAACCTTATAAGCCCAGGCCGACCGAGAAGGGTGTTTACCGAAGCGAATCTTAAATCCGAAACCCTCATACCCAAACTTGGGCCTCTAGGTGCTGGTGGTGGTTTCGTGCTGGGCGGTTGGCTTCGTCACCCTCATCATTTCTGCGGCCAGCTCACTTTGCACGATGAAACCTAGCTGCAGCTAAATATTAATATGAGGCTTATTGAAACCTCAGGGATTCGTCACACATGTCCCGTATGGTCTTGGCAATACAATAACATGCTTATATAAGAGTTGCATACCCAGAGAGCCCAAGACCCCTTAATTTTGAAATATACATAAATCATAAAAGTAAGGCCCCTATAATTTAAGCCCTATATTCCTTATTTAAGGGGTAGGTTGGGCTCTCTGGGTAGACGCTGAAGCCCAAGCGCTGCTTCGGGATTCAGGCTTACTACTTCGGATTTGGGGCCTCCAGGGTTTAGGGTTTAGGGTTTAGGGTTTAGGGTTTAGGGTGTGTCCAGAATTCGGGTTGCTGTTAAACAGTAATCTGACAACTGCTTTTGGTGCGGAAATCAAATGACCGGTTCCGTAGGGTTTAGGCTCTAGGATCCGTGGTCCATGGTTCGGAAGTTGAGGGCTTCTTTGCTGTGTTTGTTCACGAGCATATCTTTTTCGATCAAGGACCTGAGACATGGCGAGTCAATGCCCCCTTACTCCCCACAGACCCGGTGTCGAGACAGATGCGGGGGGAGGTGATGATGGCGGCGGTGGTGGTGATGACGGTGGTGGTGGGTGTACCCTGTTGCAACCCTATAATTACTAGAACCTCAATGTGTGGATGTTCATTATATATATATATAGATATGTATATATATATATACATACATACATGTGTGCGTATGCATATTATATATATATATATACACACACACCTACATTCGCCACATACACGCGTATATGCAGATACGCCTAATCATGTGTGTATCTCTTGGTCCGGTGTTTACTGGTTTATGTATGTATGTATGTATGTATGTATGTATGTATGTGCGTATGTATGTATGTATGTATGTATGTATGTATGTATGTATGTATGCATGTGAGAGATGTATTCCGTATCTCTCTGTGCAGGTATGCATGCATGCACGCATGTGCTTTGATGGGTGCATGCTACATGTGTGCACGCATGTATTGATGTATGTATGAGCATATACATATGTATGTGCGCGTGTATATATATATATATACATGTATATAGATACATATATGTACATACATACATGACAAAAGATAACCCTCAAAACCTTGCTCCAGCTCTCTAGGCCCACAGTCATGAGCTTGAGCCGAAGACGACAAGCGCTGTCCTTGCTCTGCTCCTAATCCCTAAACTCTAAACCGGTTTAAGTTTCAGGTTTTAGGATGACAGCAATGGTTCATCGCTTCGCCCAGGCTCTTCCAGAAGGTTTGCACATTGGACTTGAGCGCAGACGGGAGGCCTGGTTGGGCCTGGTTTTGATTCTCAACACATGAAGTTATCGGGACAAGGATCAAGCATCACAATGGCTCAGCCATATACGAACATGTCCTACAAATGGTAAGACCCCCCAATACTGTGACTGATGACGCTCACTTGGAATAGTATTAGTCTTGTGGATGGTTAAGACCTCGTCGTCATCATCATTACCACCATCATCATCATAACCATCATCAACACCATCATCACCTTGATCACCCTCATTACCATCACCATCATCACCAGCATAACCACTACCATCATCATCATCATCGTCATCCTGATCATCATCGCTACCATCGTCATTGTCATCACCCGCGTCATCAGTACTAAAAGCACCATGATGACTATCGGCATGATCACCGTCGCCATCGTTGTCATCTCATCGCCTTGTCAGTGCGGTCGCCAAACCAGCCCCCTCCTAGCTGATGACGGCGAACACAAACCTTCAAGGGGGAGGCCAAGGGTGGCCAACGGCCTTTGGAAGGCTCCCTTCACACCAGGCCTTAACCCGAGATGTTGAGAACAGGAACGCAGGAAAGGCATCGGGCAGCCCTGAACAGGCCGATCATCGCTCTGGCCCTGTTTGCTTGCTTAGACCTTCTGGTGGTTCCTCTGGTACTCGTCGTGGCTATGTGCTTGGTGGCTTGGCTTCAGAGTTTCGGGTTTTTCAAGGCCTAACCGCTTGCTTGCCGGCTGCGCACAAGAAGGTACGGAGTGTTCCCTTTGGAGGATCCGGGTGGAGCGTTCAGTACGTACAAATTGTGTAGTTGCCCTAACCCCTAAACCCTTAACATATCTTACCTGTGACCTAGTCACCAATCTATATATAAATATATATACACATGTGCATTTATATATATATATATGTATATATGTATATATATATATGTATATATATACATATATATATATATATATATTTGTTTATTTATTTATTTAGTTTTAGGGGTTAGGGTTTAGGGTTCCCATGATCTTCTGTGGTATGACTTACTATAGTTAGGTCTCCCATTGGGACCTTTGTTCCTTTTTGTGATCTTGGACTCCTTACAAAGTCACCCAATGCCAACAAGGGATCCCTTTTTATTCCTCGTATACTGGGGATCCTAGTATAGTCTGTATTGTCAATCACAGGCGACAGGCACGAACATGGAGAGTTTAGGTAGGCCCTAAACATCTTAGCCCCGCACCCATGCAGGGCTTCGAGACAAGTCGGGGTGCGAGCTTTGCTCTTGAGATTCTGGATGGGAGCTGGCCTTCTTGGTTTCGTGTTTGGTCACCTTCCTCCAAGCATTTCAGCTTGACATCCAAAGCTACACTACTACGCAATTCTCAGGAAGCTCGAGTGCGGGTTCTCCAGGGCTGTGGCGCCAATTGGGGATCCCGGGCCCCGACAGAAGGCAGGATCTAATCAGAAAGCCCGGCTTGCGGGTTTAGACTTGACACGTTGGGGTCTCATCTTTTTAAGCATTCCCGGAAGCTTTCTCTGGTACTGCAAGCCACAATCCTTCTCGGCACGAACCCACAGAGCCCAATACCCCTTAAATAAGGAATATACCTTAAAAATCATAAGATTAAGGCCTCTATAATTTAAGGAATATGCCTTAAATCATACTATTAAGGCCTCTATAATTTAAGGGGTATGGGGCTCTCTGGGACAGCCCCCGGTGGATTCTTCACGGCCTGATGGCTTCCTGGAGTGTGCCAAGGTGAGCCTTGCGCTGTGTATCACAGAAGGCGTGGCCCGGGAAATTTAGGGTTTAGGGGTTTAGG